GCTTTTAATTTTTTGTTCAAACAAAGTAAACATTTTAAGATTTTAGTTAATTTGCATGCTTTCGTATACATTTTGTTTGTTCATTTCTAATCAATTAGTGACAGATGGATAAATCTTCGCTGAAATTAATTCTCAAATTTTTCAACAAAAATAATACAAAATAAAAATATGATGTTTAACTGTACAAAATCAGTGGAATAAAACGAAATTAATTGAAAAATATTAAATTATATTATAATAATACCAATTAAATTCGAAAAATAAAAATATAAAAATGACAATGAAATCGTTTCGATGAAAAATTTAATAATAAAAAAACTTGTAATTGTTATTTGTTTTTAATTTACTAATTTATGAAAACTATAAATATTGAAATTGTAAAGAAATAATAGTTAAAAATTTGGTTTCGTATAATTTATAATTTGGGTGAAACCAATAATTCTCATTTAATTTTCCCTAAATTCTAAATTTCTTTTTCTATCAAAATTCGAATGATTTCAGTCAAATATTACTAACTGCGATTTATGTTTTCTATGCAAATTTTTTGTCCGAATGATTTCAAAGAATTTCAAAATTATTTTTAAGTATTTCATATTAATTTCATATGCACAAATAAATTTGACCTGCTAATTACATTGTTTTCCGATGAAGAGCTTTATGTGGCTCAGTTTTCTCGAGCATAATATCAATGTTAATTTCACATACAACTTTCAAACAGTATGGCTAAAACTTATAGGAATCATAATTATCATTCTTCTTATTGATCTTTAAGTGGAGAATTCTGTTCATTGCTCTATTTAATATTACAAACCATTAAGTGTGAAAGCTATTAAATTAAAGTCGACAAGTTTATGAAATTTCTCCTTTAGCAAAGTTTATACTTCCATTAGTAAATGTTTCCTTTAAGACTAAATGGCCTCTTCCATCTCTTCATTTTTCTCTTTAATTTTTCATACTAAATTTTATTTTTATTTTAGATTATAACCTATAAATTTTTATTTGTCAAATTTTGAAAATTAATAGTCACAGGCAGCAAAATATTCGAAAATTTTCATACTGAGAAATGAATTTACTCTATTCCTTTCTCATACATAAACAATATTCCAAAAATTATGAATCCTTGATTTTCATAGAAATTTCACATTATTATTGTACGACAATATATTTTTTCAACTTTGTAATAGTGGTAGCTGTAGTAGTAGTTGTTGTCGCAGCCAGTAATCGTAGCATTAGTCGTAGCAGTAGTCGTAGCAGTATCGCAGCAGCAATCGTAGTAAGTCGTAGTAGTCACAGTCGTAAAAATCACTCGAAATACTACTTTGAATAGTAATTATTGGCGTGGTTTTGAATGGTTATTGGTTTTCGAATATAATTTGAATGCAAAGTACATTTTTATGATTCGAATTTAATGATTTTTTAATTGCACTCGCCGGTTTAGCTTATTTCTTTTCTTTTATTGTTCAGAATATTACAAATGCCTTTTTTATAAAGAATATATATATATATATATATATGATTTAAAATATACGAAATATATTTTAAACAAATGCTCCGTTATCATGAAACAATGCTTACCATTATGAATTGTGTTAAGAAATTTACTAAAAACTTGCTCAGGAATGATAAATGTTGATGATAAATGATGTAAATGTATTGTATCAATTATCCTCTCATTAATTTTATGCTTATTGTCAACTTAAAAATCAATGAATGAATTCTATTGAATTAAACAGCGAAGTATTGCTTCAGAATCTATCAGTCAGTGGTATCATTTTTATAGAGGAGAAAGACAATTGCTGATAAATGAATGAAACGGTAGAAGAATGTAATCACAAAATACTGCGTGCTATCAATTTAGTTAATGACTTTGTAATTCTTTAATTTAATGACTTTGTAATTTTTAATACAAAGAAAAATTTTAGCGACACCCTTCATTCATTTTCTATTTTTTTTTACTCGTTGCCACCTTTTCTCTTTTCTAACTTCTACTAATAATACCTTTATTGCTTCCAATAATAGCAACAACAATAACATCAATTAATTAATATATTAGAAAACGTTCAATATATATTATAAACAAAAGAGGAAAAATGTTGGCAAATAAATGTTAATAGTGATTTATTCTGTCGAAATTATTATGAATTGAGAAATTTCAATTAGAAACTTAAATAGATAGTGGATTTAATCGAATTCCTTTTTTTCTTTCCCGCAAAACTCATGATACTGTATCATTTCATATTATCATCATTGTAATCGTATGCATATCGGTATAGTATTATCTTTTCAATTCCATTTCCTCTTATGAGAAATTTCTCTCTCATCTCCTCCATTCCATTTCTCTTTCAGAATATATTCTTATCATATAACCATATAGGTATAAGTAATTTGAATATTTCCAATCTTCTATTCGCTTTCGAATTATTTCTCTGTTCCGGAAAATAGTGAAAAGTAATTTAATTTATACCAATTGCAATTAAAAAACCAGACATATTGCCATATTTGTTCACTATCAGTTGATTTGATTAGATCTTTAAAAGACACAAATTCTGAAAACAATTTATTGAAATGATATTTTCGTTGATAATGATGATAAATGTATTTATTATTACTATTAATTATTGTTATTATTACTATTAATTATGTCATTATTAACGTTGATTTAGTTATTATTGTTCATATTAGTTATTACCAATGTTATTATTATTATTGCTGTTATTTTGCTTTATTTACTGAATAATTACTGTCAGGAAAACTTTCGTTGCAGTCATTACCGGTGTTAATCGGTTCACTTACCTAAAAATTGCCCTTTCTGTTCCTGTTTTTTTCAAAAATCTTTAATTTCTCTTCTTGTCATAATTATTTTCTCTTGTCATTTTGCTCCATTTACCTAAAAAATTACCTATTTTATCATTTCCACTCCTATCTCTTCACCTTTTTTCAATATTCTGAAATTAAATATTGAAGTTATTAGAATCATTTTACCTTTGTCCGTTTAAAAATGAGAAATTTGTCAATAATAAATCTTTTCATATACATGATGCATCGCAATAAAATGTCACAATTTTATTGTTGAACAGACCAATTTCATCAATTAATTAATGTGCCAATATTATTAGGATTATTTTATTAGGCATTTACTAATTTCCCGAATATTCCCATACTCTGAATTTTTAAAATGCATATTTATTAATTCGCTGAGTATTTCTGCATTCGTTCACCATATTTCAACCTCACATGCAATTAAATTTTCATACAAGCCAGAATTGAATAGTTTCTTACCGATCTTCAAATTCTATTGTATTTTAATTAGAGTGTGTTGACTATTTATCATGAAATTATCGCAAAAAAAAAATTCTCTTATTTTACTACATTTCTTTGATTTTTAACTGCACAAAATTCTCTTACTTTTACGCTTTCTTCACAAAATTATTTCTCAGAATTGAAATACTTAATTATATTGTTTATCATAAGTTATGCTCTCACAATACTTCTATAAGGTAAGAAGTAGCACAGTGCGATTGTTCTAAATCTTTTCTACATAGCATCAAATTTACTAATTTCATGACTTTCTCTATGCCCTGAATTAATAAATATTTGTTATAGGTAGTTTTCCTGATATCTTCTACATTTCCATTAGCTTTTCTGATCATAAAATTATGAGCGAATAATTTAAATTTGAAATTTAATTTATCTATTTAAATTTAATAACTGTCTATTTACAATTCTCTACTTGATTATAATATTCCGCGTTATAGAGCCATTTCGATAAATTTTGAACGATCAGAATTTTTTCGGACCGACAATTTAACTTTTTGACAGACATATTCCTTCCATTACATAAAAATGGCTAAAAAACATCAACTTCAGTGAAAATAACTTCACTTGGATGCAAAAGAAGACAAAAGTTTGTGATGCAAATTATTTTTGCAATGAAATTTTATAAAATTCGGTCAATCAATTGAACCAGTAAATTTTTCTTTATTTGAAAATTACAGCAAATTTAAACTTCAAACACAATTTTGCAATACCTTCTGAAGTTATATCGTCGCATTCAATAACATATCAACATGGCAAGATAATTCTCTGACCTTGAAAAATAAATGATCTGGAAAGGTCATTTTTATATAGCAATAATGAAGTGCTGACTATATTATTTGTTTTGAGTTCTAAGTTCTCTTATATTTTCTAGTCGTTTGTTACAAGTTTGATATTCTCTTAAGCAATGCTTTTTTTAAATATTATCCGATCAGCGGTTCCTATTGTGATATAGTAAGTAATAATGATTTTTGAGTGATATTAGACTATTGAAGTACGTTTCGAGGAAATGTGCCAAAACTAGACGACCTGAGTTATTTATATAATAATCAGCATGGATGGAATAGATTAGAACGTTATGAAATATGTGTCGTATGTAAATTTTCTTGCTTGTATAAAAACTTTTTTAAGTGACTAACTGAAACATTAATTTGTCAAAATATTGCATGCATTCAAATTTTGAAAAGGTTATTTACTCTCAATTTTAGTTCAGAAAATTGAATCTATCACCATCAACTTGTATTAGAAATAATTAGAAAAGTTAAGATTACAGTAATGTGTATGTAACTTTAAAATTATTATATAATTTTTCAGCGTCAAGAATTGACATGCTGAAATTTCGCAGTGGATGGATGATATTAATTATTAGTTCAATATTTAAAAATAAATAAGATTATTGATTACGATCAATTATTTGTTTATAAGAATTATTGTATCAATAATGAAAATTGAAAAATCTTCCTGTCTTATCAATAAAAATTGCCAAATGCAATTATTGTGCAATATTTATCTTTTCAATATCAATGTAGATATAAAATTAATTTATGTAAAAGAAATATTGAAATGTCTGTCTCATCAATTCAAATAATAAATTGAAAATTCCAAAATTTCTATTTCATTACAGATATTATTAGCTCGATTGGTGATAATAGCAGTTGTCGGTAATTGAATAGTGATAAAAACAAATGACAGCAGTGCGTGATTCGTTGTGTAATATGGAACCAGTGCAAATTCCGAGGCCACAAATATCCGGCTTACAATTTATACCAACGAGAGGTCGATTGGGATTCTATGCGGTTTAATATTTTCCTGTTCTTTTCTCTCTGATACTATTATTTTATTTTATCACATTTTGTCATACATTAAATTTTCATAATTATTTTCTAATTTATCATATAATTGATTTAATTTATTCATTAACCGTAGAATATATTTTTTTAAAACAAAATGAATATATTTGTGTAATAATCTAAATATTTCTAGCTATTTTAAAAAGTTTTCTTTTTTAAGTTTATGAATTTTGTAGAGTATTCGTCGTGATGGTGAAAAATATGGCGTTGAAATAAAACCGATCGGACCGCGAAGACCATTGCTATCAGATGGCTTATTTGTAAATGATAGTAACATCCCGAAGTCATCAAACAGCAGAACTGATGAGGCTGAGAAGAAGCAAAATGTGAATTGCTTTTCACAACAAATACATTTCATCTATTAGACTCGATAATAATTATTTTTATTCAAATTTTAGATTTTGCTTTATGTGATTCCGATTATTGGAATTAGTAAAATAATTAATTAATTGTGAACTGTTAAATGTGGAATCGCTATTAAATCATTTGCAGTAGGTTGAAACATGCAACTATTCTTGCTTTACCGATATTTTATTATTTCAGTACAATAAAAATGATTTAACACTCAAAAATTAAATAAGTTGAAGTCTTTCACGATAATCAAAATGGAATGACAATTTTATTACAGGATTCGGAATCAGTAAAAGTATCAAATTCATCGGCAACCACTCCCACGTCATCATTTCCAGTATCGGATTATGAAAGAATTAATTTGAATAAGCAATGAGTTATCGATGTGTAATAAATTTTCTACATTTGGTGAATATTTCGAGATGCAATTAAATATACAAAAAAACAAAGTATTATTACTTTTGCATTTATTAGAAATTTGATAACACAATTGACAATGGAATTAAATTTCATAAAATTCAGAATCAAAATTCAATTTAAAAAACAATGTTTAGTAAGTTCAAAATAATATTTTCGCTATTTTTTTGCATTCGTTTTAATTTTTGTTTGTGAGAAATTCGTCGTTAACAATATTTGGTGAAAAACGAACAAATGAAAATAAAATGCTAATTTCCACTTTATTATTTTTTTGATAACCTTTAACCTTTACCATTAAATAAAGCATTTCTTATTTTGCTTCTTCCAATAATTATACTTTATTCTTCTTTGTTTTTGTCTTTCATAAATTTTATACAAAAATGATGTCTTCGAAGAAATTCATTTCCTATCCTTTCTCTTCTTTATTGACCTGGTAAATCAGCCTTAGGAACTTTTAACAAATTTCAACATATCAAACGATTGGAAAGAAAAACTAAATGTCCCCAATTTCAGCAATTGTAATATCAAAAAGAAATGTTAGAGATGAAATTTGAGCAGAAATCATTTTTTTTTTGGTAAATTTACCATAACTAATTAATAATTAATAGTAATTAGTGTATAAAAGAAAACTTAGAATTAAATTTGAAAAGAAAAAGTTTGATATAGATCATTTGAAGAGTAACACTTCACTTTTGTTTCTCATGAATTACATTGCTTTTTTTATTTGCTATTTCTTCCCAAAATATTTACAGTCGGATAGTTACAGCTCTTACGATTAATATTTGATAATAAATTTCAGCAATTTTAATTTTACTTGCTGTTTTTCTTGTGTATGATCGGATAAAGTAATCATTTTTTTGCTTTATAAGTAAATAATCTTTTGAGTGATATTTTGGCCTAGAAATCATAAAAGTCTTTTGAGTGATGTTTTGGCCTAGAATTCATAAAAGTCTTTTGAGTGATATTTTGGCCTAATTCATAGACAGTGGTGGAATAGCCGTGAATTATTACGCTTAATTTTTGTCTTCTTCTATCTCAATTCTTGAAACGTAAAAAAAGAAAAACAACCGGAAATGCCGTTTTTGACGCTAGCGTAAGAAAATGCGTAAGAAAAGAAATGATACGTTAGAGAAGACATGCAAGTCACGTTATATAACAATAAATGTTCAATTATAAGAAATGATTTCAACGGATGCTTGGAATGATCTTCATAAGAAAGTATGCTATACATATGAAAAAATCAGAAGAGAAATCTGACGGATAAATGACTTATTTATTTATGTTTACATATATGCATTTAGTATTTTTTTAAATAAATAAGTATTTTAAATAATTTCAAATAATAAATTAGTATTTTAAATAATTTCGCTTTACATTTATTTGTTATTGTTTAATATTTTTTGTAATTAAATTTCTTAGAAATATTTGCACAAATGACAGACATATTTTGAAATTTGTCGATTATAGCTTTGGAAATACATAACGATTAGAATTTCATTGATAGAATACGATTGAAAACCAAAAATTAATTATTTGCAGCATGAAATCACTATATTGCATAAATTAGAAACACGTGAACATATGGCTAAACTATATCACTGTGAATGTTGTCAGCTGGTATGATTACTATTACTGATAATAAATATTGAAAAATATAAAATGATCAAAGATTTAATTTTGTATTAGATAAGTAATATATGAGTTAAAAGTGAGTTGAAGAAATATAAGAGTAAAAGATTTAAAAATTAATTAAAAACAAATTTCAATGCCACATGGTAACATATTAAATTTTCATGCAGTTTTGCAAATTTAGAATTTGCATAAAAAATTAATGTAATTATGATTGTACGAATATATTAATGATTAATTTGATTGAATGCATTAAGACAAATTTTAAATAATTTCTGATAATAATTTATTGCTTAGTTTTCATATTATGGCAGAGTTTACCGAATAAATTAATGCCACCGGAATGTACAGTTCATATTGTTGTACGTACATTATATCAAATTAAGTTAATACATGAAATTGGTTATATTTTAAGAGATTTAAGAATTGGTTTGTTTCATTTTATGATGAAATGTTGTGATATAAGTGATAGGATATTAGTGAAAAAAATTAAATTAATTAATAAAAGCTTAAAAGAGCATTTTGGCTTTAGTATATAAATAAAAATTGAAAATATCTAAGCCTATTTTTTGTGAAATAACTGTAGATCAAATTTAGCCATATACTAGGATGACAAAAATGAGGCTATTATCTTTAAAAAAGGTTAAAGGTGAATTACTCAAATAGCTGGAATAAGTACTATAGACTGGATTAAATGGTAAAGCAACAAAAATGATATTTTTGGTTGATTTTGGATTTTGGAATGTATCGAACATACATTCAAAGAAAACGAACAGATTAATAGCAATTTGATCGGAACGAGAATTTTTAAAATCCACATAGGCAGTTGAACTGGAATTTTAATTGATAATGCTGTAATAAGTTAATGTAAAATATGAAGGGATTCACATAAGTGTGAGGAGATTGTTAAAAATTTTATTTGCAAGTTCTGATAAAATCACATAAATTATCGATGTTAAGCCTAAACAAATATTCAGAAATTTTCAAGTTGGTGAATTAAATTTTAAAATTAAATATGTAATAATTTCAATGCTATAAACTCATCGCAACAATTTTTTACGAATTTGAAAAATTATGTGAAATATGCGACGAAAATTGACTTTATATTAGCTTAGCTAACAGTAAGTTTTGTATAATATATTACGAAATAACTTTAGAAAATGTGCACAAAAATACATTTCCTGCAAATAATATGGAAATTTCATTTTACTTTAAAAACAAACAATAATTTAAATTTTTTTATTATTGTTTATAAGTAACGGAAATACGTGTGGTTTCGTATATTAACTTTGATAATATTATTATAGTAATCAGCAGAATAGAGAATTTCTCACGTTTAAAGTGACAGGTATCGTTGAAAAATATTACTAACGTATAACTTCCAATGTGAAAGTATAAATGTTTCTACTCAAATAACTGAAACTAAAATTGAGGTTAATTAGGCTCATTAACTTCGATATTATATTTAAGAATAGAGAATAGAAAAAACTGGAATAAAGATTCGTGAATAATAGTTCAAAAATATCTTACCCTTTAATAATATTACATTACAAATTTCAACATTAATTAAGAATGAGAAAAAATAATAAAGTAAAAAATTTATTCCCTTTTGAATCTTTCATTGCCCATTCATTTTATCCTTACTTTGGATAAATATATGCAACGATGAGTGTCGAAGCAACAGGTGAAAGTGAACATTCATCATTGATCGATTTCAAAACCGGTCGAAGGTTAATTAGACAACTATTTCATTTAATTACATTGCCTATCGTTATTGGCAAAATTAAGCAACATCTTCATTCAATTTTTGCGTTTATTTCAACGTTGATGCTCTAAAAGAAGCGGAATCATTTGATGCAGAGGTAGCGGAAGTTTCTTACATTTACCATAATAAGTGGTTGGTGACATTGGTGCAAGAAAAAATAATCAATATTGAAGTGATCGATAAATGAATTAATCAGGAAGGGAAATTCAGATTTGGTAAATGGCGAATAAAGAATAAATTAGATGAAGGTGGCTTTGGACAAGTGTATCGTGTAGAGCATATTAAAGAACGTGGTCGTTACGCTGCATTAAAAGTTGAGCCGAATGATATCGAAGGAGGATCAGCGATCAAACTTGAAGTTTGCCATTTTTTATGGACTATTTTCCAAAGTGCCAACCAATTTGAAACAAATTATATCTCATGCAAAATTAAAAAAGGAAAGCTTTGCCATTTTATTATATTAAAAAGATATCATATCGAAGCTACATCACTTTTGCTATTGCTATCAATCGTTTTTTGGATGATAATTCTCAGCTATAGCCGAAGGATTTTTTACTTCTTATTTTGAATTTATGCTTTTGAAGTTATGATAATTAAGTTTATTAAAAAATTAAGTTAATTGAATTGCAATCCTCAAACATGAAATTTAATTCTTGTAATTTTATTAGACTATGTTAGACATTTAAATCGAAATATATTAAGATTATGATAATAAACTTATTAGACTTTTCAAATCTAAAATATTCAGATTATGATAATAAATTTTCTTAATCGTGATGGTGATAAACCGCATGTTGTAAAATTATTTCATGCAGCAAAACATAAGAAGTTTTCATATATGATTATTACATTACTTGGTGAAAATCTTCGAACACTTAAAGTAATTATATTTCATTTCTTTTTAATTCTGTTGGAATAAGCGATTCTTGCAATTAATTAGTCGGAAGAAATAATTACATTTCAATTTCAAGCAATTACCAATTCATTTAATCCAAAATTTGTCAAAACGAAAGGCTAAAACAATCAAAATTTAATAACTCGTATTATTTTTTTCTTTGTTGTATTACTTCCATTAATAAATGAAAAAGAAAAAGCTTTTTGCTAATATTTCAAAATTATCTTCAACAATAGAAAAAAATGTTTAATTAGGAATAATTACCTTTAATAATTCCGAAATTGGAATTGCTTTTTCTACAAATTGTTCAAATGAAATGATTTGTTTGTTAGCATTTCTTTGTCAAATTAATGCTTTCTTGTTAAATTTTGAAATTTAATTCTTATCCGAAATCTTTGTTATTGAAGTGATAAAAATTAAGATAAGTTGTCCGGGCGAATATTTATCGATGAAAACATGGTCTCGTATTGGTATCCAATGTTTATATAGTATTAAATTATTGCATGATATCGGTTTTGTGCATCGCGATATTAAACCAGCTAATTTCGTGATGGGACATGAAAGTGACGTGGAAAAAGCGCGATGTGTACATATTTTGGATTTTGGATTAGCACGGTGATTTTTCAATAAAAAATTAATTTCTATATTTACATGAAAATTTCTTTTTCAAAAAAAAGAAAGATAAATGAACGAAATCTGTAAGAAATTTTGGAATAATTGATGAAAGAAAAGAAATTAAGAGCCAAGTAAAAACATTTGAGCCAATCAAATTAATCGATCATTACATTCATCAAATATTGTTTGCATTAGATAGAGCAGATGTCCGCGTAATCCCGGTATTTCTGGCAATTTTTTCTTTTTCAAAAACAATAGCATAAATTAATATGAAATTGTATTCATATTTATAAGAAAAGAAATTGCAAGCGATATAATTATTGTAAATTTATTATAGAAAAATGTGCGATACAGATTTTTTAAATAAAACTTATAATGCAAAATATTAATTTATATATATCGTTATATAAAAGACACATTAAATTTTTGTAAAAATTTTCAGCAATTATGCTTTTGAAAAGCGCAAAGGTCATTGGATAGCACGGCGAGCTCGACGTTCGGCGGAATTCCGTGGTACAATGCGTTATTGTTCACCGTCAGTTCACGAAAAAAAAGAACAGGTTAAAACAAGGAAAAAATCTACGACAAAAATTTTGCAGATTGAAAATTGATAAATTATATACCTATAAATTATGCTAAACTATTTAACTATTAATTTTCATCATTAGGTCTTTTCATTTCTCATGATGTTCTGTTGCTTTCTTTTCATTTTTCTGTTGATAATTTAATGCTGAATTTATAAATAAGCATGATAATAACATTTTTTGCAAAATATAGCTTTAACGAAAAAGAAAAGTTCAAAATGAATTTAAGCAATGAGGTGAAAAGCATAAAAAGTAATAAATTATAGGGACGTAAGGATGATATTTGGTCATTAATTTATTTGCTTATTGAAATGCATTGTGGTTTACCGTGGCAACATGAAAGAGATAAAGAACGACTGGAAATAAAGAAGATGAACATCAGCGATAAAGATTTATTGCGTCACTTCCCAGGTTTGCATAATATTGATGAGAATGTTGAAATATTGAAATGTTGAAGTGATTCTTTCGATTAATTACAACGAATGAAATGTTGAAGAGAATCTGAAGGAATTGTGACTGAATCTGAAAAATTTTCAATTGAATAATTCTAAAAGATTATTAAAGAGAATCGAAAGAAATTGAAATGGAATCTAAAGGATTATGCATTGTACATTTAGTGGTTGTTTAAAAAGAATTGAAAAAAATTTAATTGAATTCAAAGAGATTTTTATTGCTTACTTTCAAGAATGCGTTGTTTACTGAAAATATGTTCACCAAAGAATTCATTCATATTAAAATATTTCTAATTTATTTTTTAATTAATTTCATACATACAAACAACCAAATCAATCTTTTCATAAATCATCATAACTGTCTTGTAATATATTAATGCTTAATTACCTAAGATATTGTTATAGAAGAATTACATCCGATAGTATTGCATTTACGAAATTTAAATTGCTATAATCGTCCTGACTATACGATGATTCATAATTGCTTTCTTAAATTAATCAAACGGATTGATGTGAGTTATGATGATCGATATGATTGGGAATCTGATTTACAAGTTCAATACATTGTATGTTTTAATTTTCATATTTGCAACATTTTGAATGGAAGAAAAGGAAATGAAAACAATTAAATTGCTAGCAATTAAATAAATAATTAATTAGCTTCTTCAACTTAAATACATAGAAAACCATATGTTTGTTTTGCTTTTAATTTATCGATAATTTTATAAATATTTCCAAAATATTTCTTGTTATTTAAAAAATGCGCAAAATTATTTGGATTATTTGCAAACATTCGGTAGCTATTTTCAGTTAAAGCATCGAAAAAAACGACCGGAGTACGAGCATGCGGAAGAATTTTTTGCATCTGATCCTATCAAAGTGAACGGACCACCACCGACAGGATTAAGTACGCATCGAAGTAATAAATAACTTTCATTTCATTTTGTGGATTATGACAAAAATCATTTCTTCAAATTTTTTTTATTGCAAAAAATACATAGTAAAAGCTTATGAAAAATTTTGATCCTAAATTTGTTGCAACGATGGCAAATTATCCTTAAATTTTTTCATTTCATTTGAATAAAATTGAAATGGATTTCGGATAAATTTCAGGTAAAACAGCAGAAGAATTAGAGGAGATAATGGCAAAAAATTCATCTCTATTAAAATCAACTATGCTCAGCAAACAAAAACATTGAATCGATGAATTTTATGATATAATTTGTTATTATTCATTTATAAAAACGAAAAAGTTGTCATCATATTTGTATAAAAATAATTTTGGATTATTCCTATAATTATATTTCAAATAAATTTTAATTTAAAATAATCAAATGTGCAAACATTAATATTTAAACCGATATTATCAATATGTTATATCTTCAAGAAAGGGAGCTACCGTTTGTTATACATTTTAACATTTGTTTTTAACATTGATAAGGTCAGAAATATGTAGCCAAACAGAGTTACTCTGTTTGTCACACATTCTAACATGATAAGGCTAGAAATAATTACTCAATGTCTTATTTCTTACATAGTGTTAAATTGAGGTAGCAATATGCAAGACTGATTACAACGATAAGATAGGATAGTAATCAGTGGCAAAACAAATTATGCGATTATTCGGCAATCATATAGCAAATTAAACTTGTTTAAAATTCACTATTAAATTATAAATGAACTATTAATTAGTGTTTTTAGGAAGCTGATGATATCTTTTAGTATATAATTTTCTTTCTTCCTATTTTACTTTTATTTCACTGAACACTTTCTTTTGATCTGAATAGATTAGACGGTTAATCGATTATCATAAAAAAGAAGAAAAAATTAAATTAACAATTTATAGCAAGTATTTTTATGGAAATATAATTAATTACCTGGAGGAATTTTAATTGATGATTGAATAGAAGATGCAAGAAAATCTGTTGAAATTTCCGAGTGTTACGTCAATTTTGACATAGTGGTACTATTTTTGATTGGTTGTATCATTGCAAAAAAATTATCAATGATATCATTTTAATTGAAGTATATTAACCATTTAAGTTAGTTTTAAACATAATTGAACTTCAAGCAACTTTTTCTCCAGGAGAAATGGATGTTGAATATTTGTTTAGAAATGCATTGATTATAAATTTTGATTTCCTTTATGTTAGAAATTTATCAATAGCTTGTTTAATTACTATGTCATATTTACAATTAGCCAATCTTCTTTTTCAAGTAAAAGTATTATGTGATAAAAATTTCAAAAATTACTTAGCAAAAAATTTTTATTTCGAACATTTATTTTTTCAAAGAATATATTTAGAATAAATATTTAGCTATAAAATAGGTTTTTACAGTATGCGAAATTTCCAATTTTTCCATTTATTTAACAACCGAAATTTATCATTTTCTAAATATGTGCTTATTTAACTTAAAAAAAGTATGATTGCTTGTTTTATCAGACTTCTTATCATTTTATTTAAAAATCCATTTTGAATTATTTTAACTTCTGGAGATAATTTTGAGCTATGAATTATTTAAGCCACTTATTCCAGTTGTTTGTAATTTGATGTTTATAAACATCTTAAACACGTTGTTGATATTTTATACATCTTTTCCTTTGAATCTTTAAGTATCAGAGCAATGACGTCTTCATCTATAACTGATTTCAAAATAATATCACAGTAAAAGTGAGTAAGAAATCATCATTATAACATGAATTTATCATTTCTCTTCGTGAATAATTAATCTTAAATTTCCGTTGTTGTCGTATTTTCTTTCGTAGTATTTAAAAATTCCTTCGTAAATTTTGTAGTTTTATCGGATTGATATTATTTAAAGCTTTTAACTTTTTAGCTTGCAAAATACGACATCTTTTTGCCTTTTGATTTTTCATTTTCAGTTACTCAATTATTAGCTTAGTGTGTGTAAGTTCAATTTTTCAAATGTTGCATTCAAATGTTACAAAATTGAACTTTTTCATTCCAAACTTTTAAACTTTATGAAAGTGAAAGTTTTGAAATTTTGGTGAACTAAAAATTTTAGAAATTTCCTCTTAAAAATTTTCTTCTTATATTTTTTTGAACTTAAGTAACCGATATTTTCTGATTTTTCAACGGCTCGCTTTTCTTTTGCAATGGCGGATAAGTGTCATTTGATGAATCAACAATGGATCACTTGTTATTAATTGCTTTGAAATGGAAAACTTTGAGGTTTGAATAAAATGATCGGTTGGTGGGCCACATTTCTTTGTGTTTTAATGATGTACGATAAAATTGGTGCAGAGCTGAACTCTTCTGCTCCAGTCAAATTAATTCGAGTTAAGGTATATATTTTTCGATGCATTATTTTTCTTATTCGATATATTGTCTTCCGTCACTCTATATGCATATTCTTGCAGAAGTTACTGTAATTTGAATTTCTCAATTTCATTACTAATTTATTTTATACAATTAGAAAAGTCTTTCTTAATCTTTATTCATAAGAAATAGGTTTGAAACAAATAATTGATCGTAGTAAGCTTTTTTACTGGAACAAATTTTATTTCTACAACTTCAAAATAGTTATTTCAGGACTTATATCGAATTTTATATGGCTCAAAACCATTATTTTTGGTTCGAAGAACTAACAATCAGCGGGACAAGTATCTGGAATATAGATGATTAAGTAAATTATTTCATCAGACGAAAAGGACTATCATATTTCGAGCTTTTAGTGCTTGAAATTCAAAGGCATACGAAATTATGGAATTGAAACTTCCACTCACGTCAAATTATATGAGGCATTTATTTTTCTTTCTGATTCACATCAGAATTTCTTGCCGTTAAAACGCTGAAATATGAAATTGGGATTTCATAAAATTTCATTCAAATTATATTTATTTTGAAAATTGCTGCTAATAAAATATGTCCGAACAAAGTACTTCGCTCTATTAACATTTAACATTCAAAGCTGAGGAAAAAAACACTTCAATTAATAATACTTCAAATATTTTCAAATACAAAGAAATGTTGAAGATAACGAATAGTACCATTTATCAGAACTTATTACGGAATTTATATTCTAATATTAGAGAATACTTTATATTTTACGGCAGCTATATATCACAGATGACCTTATTTGAAATTTCTTCCCAATTAATTTTTTTTATAAAATATGCTGTCGTTTGATATTATAGACGACTGTTACGCAGGATATGCAAAATGTGGATGAAATTGTGTATTTTGCAAATTAACTTTTCGATAATTAATTTTGATAATTATTGACTAAGTTTTTTTAATTAAATGATTTTAGAATAAATTAAGAATGAAAAGAGAAGAAAGATTATAGCACTCTTTTAAAACAGGAATGAAACTTCACAATAAAAAATTGCTACAATTAATACAATTAAAAGTATTACCGCATAAATAATTTAAAAGATTAAACTTGCAAAATTTCATTACAGTATGAAATGGCTGGAAAGGGAAAAAATTTCTTAGTAAACAGCGCTGAATTAATAATTGATTCATTAGTAAAACTGAAAGAATTAGTCAGTGTAAATTATTTGTTTGAATAATTAATTACATTACTAACAACAAGCAACATTTTCTGTGATATCGAATGTATCCCAATCTTCTAAAATGATTAATGAAAAATACGAATGGAAAAATTCTATTTGCTTCTTACTATTCCTTTTAGAAATCAAAAAATGGTACGTAAATGAAACACAATTTTCTTGACAATTAATTAATTAATTAATCGCAAAATATATCAAATAGATGAAGAATTTATAAATTTAAAAGATTGTTTTTGCAAAAAATTTTAAAAAAATTCAAAATTTTAAATGTAAGCAAAAGATGTGAAATGGTTGAAGAAAATGCTGAACCAGGATATTTGTAAAGTTTACTTGCAATCGGACTGTATTTAAATTACAAATATGACATATATTAGAAATTAATTAGCTTAAATTTTCACTAATACATTTCGGAAATGAAAATTTCAAAATTATATTTTATACTAGAATTTATATTTTTAAAATGTCTAAGAAAATATTAAATACTTCACTGTAAAATATGTTGATAATATAAGTCTTATCTGAACTGGAATGAAGAAATATTAAAATATATAAACCCAACGTAAAATACTTTCATCAAATTCGATAGTGGAATTGCGGTGGTAACAGAAAAAATTATCAGATCAAGCGCAAATTCACAAAACTTTACTTCTCATTTTCATTTATTACGTGAAAAAAGTAAGTACTGAGTGATTGTTGTTCTTCAGCAACTGCAATTTGTGTAAAATATATAGTATCCTGAAAATATTTCCTGCCTTCGCATTCAAATTATGATAGGATAGTAATCGTTGAGTATTTGATTTCTTTGCACATATAAACGTGACAAAATATAACGAATGCTTGAAAATATAAGATCTTCATTTCGAAATTATTGAGCAACTACTGTTTTGATTTGACGAACAATAAAATAATTATTGACACCATAAATTTCTGATCACCAATCAGAATAGCATCCAGAACGATTGTTTGTAATTAGACTTTAACGTATTGTAGTATCGTGAATGAGTGCAATAGTTCGGCCACAAACTACTGAAATCGTTCTGCATAGTAATGGAAAATCTCTGGAAATTTTATGTTAAAGAAGTTCTCTTTCTGCGATGTGAACAAATCTTAGCACTGAATTACTATATTTACCTATTTTTATTCTAGTTGTTTTATATAATTTGTTCCTACTAAATATTCCTATCGTGCTTATCGCGTCGTAGATTTCATTGAAATAATCCTTTCATGACTTTTGCAATCTTATAATTAAAATATGAATCATATGTTAGCATCAAGATCACAACTATTGCATGAGACTTTTAAAAGTTCGAATAAGAAATATACCAAAACTGCTACCTCTTAACATTTTTCTATTCCATCACGTGCATTTCTAATGTAGAAAGAGAGTGTTAACTTTATACATATATTTTAATGAAAAACCATAAAATGTGAATATGAAATATAGTGAACGTAGCAACATAATAAAAAAAATCCCAGCTTATATATCGTACATAAATGAGGATTTGAAAATCTAAAATATAAATGAAAGCTATACTAATTCTGTAGTGATTTTTCAAAAACCTAAACAATTAAAAACAAATCAGCAATTATCCCAAATCCCAGGAAATATATTTCCTCTTATCAACTCTAACATTCATGGATTTCTACTTTATTTGAAAACCGATATTTATCTACCTGTTAGGAAGACTACACATGAAGTGATCTCTGTCACGTGGTCATAAAAACTTGATAGCATAATTTTATATCCGTAGAAAACAAATTCACTCTGTTTTGAAAATATTTTTTCAAAAACAAGTGCCTAAGTATTGGCCAACTTGGAAAAACAATTTTTTCTACTCGAATTTTGATCCTTTTTTGAATGCCCATGTTCGCAACGGTGTTGCACTTGCTTGTCGCCTCCCTGTTATTTTACCAAACGACTTTTCATCCTCTTCATAATCACTGTGCTGCCTAGATACTTCAGCCACGTTACGACGCTCAACGGTTGCATTGCGTCGTAATGTTACCGTTTCTGCAGCATATCGTTGCCGTTGCTGCGCAGCATAACTGTTCGACAATTCCACTGCTGTTTTCAACATTTCCTGATGAAATTGTCGTGAATGATCTGTATTCAGTGTACGTGTCAAACTCTCAATTGCTGCAAACAGTTTGCGATTTGCAAAGACGGTACTGTTGACTTGTTGAGACCGCGCTACGACATGCTCATGCAATGGCACCTGCTGAATATTTCGTCGTAGTTCATACGATTCATCATGTTGTCGCTGTTCCACTATATGACCTCCGCCCATTCTTCGATGCTCTGTCATTCCTTCAGTTGCCGCAATGGCTTCTAAAATTAACCATAATTATTCCAAATGAAATCAGGTGAAAACAGGATTTTATACAATATATTATACAATATATTTTATAAAAAATTTTTAAAAAACAAAGATATGAAGTTAATATGTTTTAAATAATAAACACCCTTTAATTTTTACATTAAATACTGCAGGATGGTATAAGTGTAGAATCACTTGTTTAGAAAACAAACAGTAGGACACTTTTTTCCATTCTGTTTCCTCCCTTGACATAAGAAATACATTTAAATAACGAACTTCGCTCAAGCCGATCCACTTCGGTTAGAACGTCATTGTACTCTCGCATCACTTCATCATCAGCATTGTCAACAGTGACTTGATCGACATTATCTACATCTACATCATTATCATTGTCATCTTCATCATCGCCGTTTCTATCTCTATCTTCGCCTCCATCATCATCGTCATCATCGCCGCCATCATTATCATCATCGTCATCATCATCGTCGTCATTATCATCATCATCATCGTCATCATCATCATAGTCTTGTAGTAGGTAATACTGTACATCACTGTTTTCCTCACCGTCACGCGCAAAAGCGTCTGGTGTTTTTTCATCACCATCACTAGGTAATGCAGATAAGCTGATGTGATTGTCCTGGTGTAACATGCATTTACCTGGATCCTATAAAAAACTCAATGAGAACCTTAGTTCTTTTATAAATTCTTACAACTTCAGGTTTTCTGCTAATGAATCTCTGGTCATGATGGGACTTAAAACTTATTTTGCCTGAAAAACTTCATGAATTTTCCTTTCAAAATTGCTTGGTTCAAATTGCTGACTTGAGCAGTTTGAAATTAAGTACTTTTGAATCATTATGGAAATGTAAAATTCACTAACAGATCTATTCGAAAACAATGAAATTTGTTCGGGTGGCTCTGGCATAATATTATCTCCTTCGAAGGAAACAGAAGGAGCTGGTTCTTGATCGGTAGTATAAATTTCGCTTTCGCTAACCACATCCAACAGTTCAAGACATCCATTTTCACCACTAGCAGCCATTGAAATGCTGTGAAGAAATTACGAATGTACTTTTCAATAAAATGATCCCAATAAAATGCACTAAATGTCGCTTATAAATATATCTTCTTGCCGGAACATGCTACTTCTACGTTAACTTCAAAGTTTCATATGAAGTGTACACATTTTTAGAATAATTTAAAGCCCTTTAAAGCCTTTTGGAATAATTTAAAGCCCCTTAAGAAAAATATAAATCTTACCAAGATTGATCGCCATCATCATCATCAAGCTCTTCAAGTTCACCACTGAAGCTAATGAAGATTGAAACACAAAAAAAGTAAAAAACATAGCTTTTTTGCCTTTGTTTTGCAAACTAAACAGACAACGAAAAAAGAATTAGTAAAAATATACTCCGATTTATGACTGTCCAATTTTTGTTTCCACCAAAAATTGGAGTGAAATTCCTACTACTATACAGATTATTCCTTCAATAAAAATAAAAATTGTAAACCGACAAAATGTAAAAGGAAAAAAAACTTGCTTATATAAAACGAACCTTCCTTCCGTTCGGAAACTATAATTTGTGGTGTCATAATTTTTTTTCTTTGCACTTCTCCGTGTAGCAGATGGTGGTGGGATATTACGCCACCAGTCTTTACTACCAACTCGATCAATACCTTCGATACCAGCGTCGTGTGCCCGCTTCTGAAACAGCATCCTTAATAACTTATGGTATACATGGTAACTTTTCTTCTTAAATAATTGATGCGAAACGAAAATGAAGAATAAAACTTACTATACATATTTCTCCTTTACATTAAAGCTTTTTATTTAAGAAATATGCCAAATTGTATTTTTCCACATACGTTTTTGGTGCCATCCACTATTTCCAATAGCAGACAAACATTCACTTAGATTTGAATTTATTAAAATTATAATAGTTCCAATCAAGATTCGAAAGTGAAATTAAATCTAATTAAAGTTATTGAAAATTAAACTTAACTTTGCTAGTTTCAGACGCCAAGCACCCACTAAAACATGTTTCTCTCTCAGTTTATTTAAATGCAATTTCGTGCACTGAGTACTGATATTACAATCAGTTCAGCGCTACAGACAACAAGAAGTTGGAATGTCCATTGATATTTGAGAAACAAGGTATCAGGAATGGGAAATGAGCTAAGCAAACATAAAAATAAACTAACGGCACTTCTCCACAGTTTCATGATAACTTTGTTCATGGTATCCCATGTAGGATATTCATCTGCATTTAATAAACCTTTAGGCGCTAAACTTTCCGCTCTCAGAGCTCGTAAACGCCCCTAAAAATGTACAAATTAAAAGGCTCAATGAAATACACTGACAATGAATTCATTTTTTTCGAATATTAAAACCGCTGTGATTAGCCCAAAAAAATGTAAATATCTACTTAATTAGTTCGAATCGTTTTTATGCTAATGTGAAGCATACACAGTCGATCTGTCATGGTTTTATGACAACCGAAGATTTTCTGTAAGCTTTGCGAAAAAAATTAAAGATCAATTACTCTATTCCAAGCCTCTTTTGGGTTCATAATTCCGTTGTAAACATCAAGACGAGCTTCTCTGTCAAACTGTCGGTTGACAATATTGGAAAATGTAAACAATTCGCATTTTAAATTGTGGGGTGGATTAACATCACCTACCAAATGACCTGCAATGAACAAAAAACATCGAAACAATTCGATCTTGGAAAAGATGCTCAGTTGTGCTAATCTTTCATTAACGTTAGAAGTTACACTATGAGCAATAGTTGAACTTGATAGTCCATAAGGAATTGAATTATTCTACAAGTTAAATTACTCTTAAAATGTAAAGAAAAAAAGCAAAAATAACCTTCAGCAAGTTTTATTTGGGCAATTGGATCGCCGGGCTCCTTTGCCATAGTCTCACAACCTGAACAACGGTAATAACACCGCGAATTACGTGCTTGGTTCAGCCGATAAACACGAAACCTGATAATTAATAAATAACTGAACACTTAAATTAAACCGACGGTTCAACTTAAAAATTGAATTTTAAATTCCAAGTTTAAAGCTGAAAATTCTAAGGAGAAATGGTTCAACAAAACCAACTTATCAGTCTCGGTAACGGGAACAGCGATATCAGTCCATTTAAACCGTCGGTTTAGAAGAAATACATAAGGATGCAATATTAACGGGCGTCGACCAGATAATAATTCATGAAGAAGAGCACATCTGCAAAAATGAAAATTTGACAAATACGATTAAACATATAATTAAAATTCCATCAAATTTTTGAAATTGAAACCTTTAAACGAACTTCCTGTGCTGCAATATCTATATCCTAATTTAACTTCAGAACATTTTAGCATAAATCATCAAGCGTTGAAACAAAAAATTAAATTAATTAAACTTAAAAACTTAGATAATGCTAACTACAATTAATCATCATAATCAATTCTTACAGTTTTCTGATCATAATACTTAATATTATAGATAGCGATCAATATTGAAGGAAGCAAATTAATTGAATCGAGCGGTAAAATTAGTTCAAAAAATCATTTTCTACCTCTCCTTGTCTTCATCTGTAAAATATTCTTCCTGACTATCAGTCTTTTGCACTGGTACATTGAAAACAACTGAAGAAGCTAATCCTTTACTGGCTTCTGCAAACGCTTGCTAAAACAAATTTTCCTTATGGAATTGTATATTTTAAGTAAAAAAATTATCAGCTTCATTCCGAGCTTGGAAAAGAAGTAAAATCACTGTATTCGAATAACTAAAAATTGAATAAGCAGCTAGAGTACACTTCTGAGAGACAAAGTAAAGTGAGGACAAAGGCTTAGGCTGGGAAAGTATTGAAGCTTTAAATTTCGAAAATTAACGGGAGCATAAAAAGAAATTCCTAAAAATTTCTAAAATCTTTTTAAAACAATTCAGTACGAAAAACTAATAAACCACATCCGTACCTGAAACTGTGCGATTTGCGCAGGGTGCAAATCACCCAAAGTTATAGTACCTAGGACTTTCGGCTGCTGTTGATGCTGTTGACATGACTGTGGCTGCAAATTAGCAGAAATATCCCTAAAAATGAACACACTGATGCAATTAATAACACAATGCAATAACGAAATTTCAGTTCAACCACCCTAACAATAAAAAAATTAAAACAGTTCTTTTAAATTAAAGTACTAAAAAATTGAAATATTACATTTGAATCAGTATAACCGAAAACTAATATCATGCTAAGTTGAATAGTTGAAAAAAATTCAATATTCCACGATAATTAACAAAATAATTATTTGATATATTTCCATATATAATGGTGAACTTTTATGAAGAACTTTTATGAACTTTCATGAAGAGGCTTGTGGAGGTATGATGTATAAAATCATAGGATTCTGCATGACGCTTAAGTTGAATTAGAATGAAATAGAAATCGCTTACATCTTTCCTTCATTGTTAACATTACGCTGAATTTCAGCACCATAGATATTCTGCAAGATTCAGAAAACGTAAATTTTAAATAATTTTTAACGGTTATTAACAGCTACTAACATTAGCGAAACTTAAGAATGGGAGTCCTTTAGCTGCATCTACATGACCCCTTAGTGTGTAAATAAACTTGATGATGTAAGTTCTATGAATAAAACAAAAAAAATAAAGCAGATATAAAATAAGTAACAAATAGATTGAGTAACTTCATCTAAGGCTAGCAGCGCATGATTAAAAATTATTATGGGAGAGAAAGTTTAATACCTGTAAGTTATTGGTTAAAGAATCAGCACAAAGTGAATCAGCAATCTGATCAGCAGCTTCTTCATCCGTTATCTCTCCACGGAGAACCCGAACAAATGCCTTCTCAACTAACGCAGTTAACATAAAAGCTAAAAAAGAAAAAGGGATGTGATTTTATTATGACATATCAATGGAAACATACGTTAAAATTTTCGTTATTTTTTTCTTTAACTTTAATTCCTCGATGGTACCAAACAATCTAATCAAATATGAAAAATTTAGATTTAAACAGTACGTCTTTCACCTAAAATATTTTCCGCTGCGACTTCAACAGCACGTTTAAACAGTTGTTTAATTAACAGGTTCTACATGGCGAAGAAAAAGTGTCTTGGATTAGTAAAAGTTTACCAGGCTAGTATCCAACTCTTAATGTCTGAACTAGAGGTCATGGTCTAGAATGTACTTATATAATATATATAATACTTGAGGTCTGGAATCATATAATATTTGAGATCTGAAAACATCACCATCAAGTAATATTAATCCTGTTTGAAAGATTTTTTCAGTCATAAATTCTGATTGAAGTCCAACAACACACTATTTTAACAAGGACAACTGAAGAGATTTCTCAATCGTTGCACTTCAATCGATAGAAATTGATGACGTTAAAATGTGCGGCCCGCGTTTTGTCCAGCCTGTTGGGCATGCATAGGAACAACTAAAGTGGGGGGAAGGTGAATGTTCGGACAATACGTGTTCGTGTGTTAAGCGTTTATCTGCTCATGATCTGACGGTACTTACATTAGATAATCTTCTACTATGTATATAGTTGTTTAGCTTTCTTTTTCGGTGATTGTCTTGGTTGTGTGGAAGCTTGAAAGAACTATTATTAGAGGAATGCAAATCATTTATGTAATAAGAAGTAGCATATCTCAAATTAATCTTTTCATATTTAGAATAAAAAGATTTTTTTAGCAGGAAATGTTGAATTGCTCTTGTTCCATATATGTCGTTGAATTGTTGCTAAATTTAAATATGGCTTTGGAAAATACAATGATATTAAAATGTTTTTAGTGGCTTTGGAGTAGAAATATCTCATGGACTTCAATTTTTTATTGCATAGCATGAGTTTTAGTCATGCTTAATTTTATGTTAAGTGAGCATTCCATTATCATCCTCGCAGATTATTACTATTGCTATCATGTTTTTTTCAGGTCCAGAAGTTTATGTTTGCGTCTCTTTAACATTTTTCCAATTTCTTTTTACCCATGAAACTGCTGCTATTGTTTTTTTCTTGCTGCTTATCTATGTGTAATTTTTTCTTATTCTCTGTCGGCAAATTTTATCATCTCTTTTTCAGGTCGTGTGAAAAATGGGCAAAGCGGAACAGCTTGCTGAAATCAGAGAGAAGAAGGCGGCTAATCCAATGAGGGAGCTGAAAATTGAAAAACTTTGTTTAAATATTTGTGTTGGCGAATCGGGCGATAGGCTTACACGTGCTGCTAAGGTGTCTTTTGGGTTCTTTTCTCAAGGAAATGGTGAGAAGTATCAAGTTTCAAGTTTAGATAACATTGCACGGATTGTTGTTATTTCATAGCAATTATTGCATGGCGTAATGTTGAAATCACCAGCCATCTGTCTTAGCGTTAGATAATTTTTCGCATTATCATGAATGTCAAATTCTGCCGATACTTAATACATTTCCCAACAGTAATGTGGTATGTCTATTCAAGCCATCGTAGCTCAGCTTTATCAGTTAAAGATTGAGCGCTGTTAAAAATGTTAACTGTCAACAGTTGTTCCGGAGTAAATAGTGCTCAGTCAGTTTCTCATGCGTTACACTATAAAAGGATTTGCCAGGCAATGTAAATAGGTTTCATCTCCGAACTTCTGAAATATCTCATAAGCTACATGTGGATGCTGGTAAGATCAAGACTATTTAGTAAAACCTGGCTGAAGTATAAGTGAACCGCAGTACCATATGACTCATTTTCATATTTTTAGGTGCTTGAGCAACTAACTGGTCAAACACCGGTATTTTCGAAAGCACGATATACCGTACGATCATTTGGTATTCGTCGTAACGAGAAAATTGCTGTTCACTGTACCGTAAGGGGTCCGAAAGCTGAAGAAATCATTGAGCGTGGTTTGAAGGTTACTAATTTTGTCGTAGCTTTTCCTCTGATAGCTTTCCTACTTCTTGATCTAAGAATCTGGATCGTATCTTGTTCGATGTCGACGTATGACAGAATGATTTATGATAAGCCTGTTATGAAAAAAGCATTTAGTGTGTCTCGTAATTTTGTTTCTGAAGTTTCTTGATTCGGCCTCAAGTATTGTTTATACGTTAAGTATTATCTTTTAAGCTCCTGATTTTGGATTTCCATGGTTTGTTGTTGAAGGTGAGCCAGACCTTTAGGCATATAGAAGGCAAGAAGTGAGTCAAATGACTGCCACCTTCCTTAAATAGTTTATGCATTTTCCTTTTTTGGAAAGTGGTTCTTTCGTACTTTTAGGTGAAAGAATACGAGTTATACCGAGAAAATTTCTCAGACACTGGAAACTTCGGCTTCGGAATACAAGAGCACATCGATCTGGGAATTAAATATGATCCGTTAATTGGTATCTACGGTATGGACTTTTATGTTGTTCTTGGACGTGCCGGCCATCGAGTTGCAAAACGTAGACGTGCACGTGGACGTGTGGGGCATACGCATCGTGTAGGGAAAGAGGAGGCAGTAAAGTGGTTTCAGCAAAAGGTACGTTTGTCGCGAATGAGCTTGAACTTGTGATACTTGTTAAAAATGATTCGAAATTTTCTTCGTAATAATTAAGAGTCATCGATAATCATCAGCATTTGGATGCATTGCTATTGAGGCAATAATTTAGTCTTATAAAGCCCTTCCAGTTCTTATGCTGCCAGAAATTTTCGTTCAGCACTGGTTTTTCAGAATTATCACCATTTTATCCATTACATAGAGTATCACTTTTGAGAATCTACTGAGCCCAGTGGTAATGTTTTCCGTTATGCGGCAAGCGTGCTTATTACGTTGCAAACACTTCTATAACTCACTTTTTCAGTATGATGGCATTATCCTGCCTCCAAAAGCAAAGGAGATCCGACGCGGACGAAGACACTGAAAATGACTTTTGTTATCGGTTCGTTGTTGTAATTCAGAAGCACATGTTGTAAACAAGTTTTTGCCATTACCATAATCTGTGGACATACATCATGTCGGTTTCTAGCTTTGTTAAAACCCGTTACAGCATTTTGCATTTATGAAGTTCCATTTCTTTTAAAAAGGATGGACTAATTCTTGCGACCCATTATTGGTTCCTAGCTTTTCCAAACATTCTCAAGCCAATATGTAGAGTAAGCTCTAGGTAGTTCTGAATGTTGCTTTTAATGTCTGACGAGTCCAAGACTATTCCATACAAAATGTGCCTGATTTCCGCTTCAACATATTTCGACATTATACAGCAAACACAAATTTAAGATCGGTTTTTTTTTGAATAAGCTCTATTTTACTGCTACAGTGGAATTACGCAATGAACACAGATTATATTACAATCATAAGAAAACATTTAATTGAAGTTGCTGTTTTCAGATAGGACTAGCTGGAAAATAATATATAACCCTTTCCTGCGGAATGGTTTGGAATGATAGCAAGTGATTAATACACGAAATGCGTGAAAGAATTCAGTCTTACTAGGAAGTCTGTCATCTTTTATCAACTAATAACTAGGTTTATATAAGCTAAGTTAGTCGAATTAAATTAAACTAGTTTAGTACGAGGACTCCATCGATCGATTATTCAAAGATTCAAATTCTGCACTCTGCACTCTTTCCTCATGTTAATTGCTATATGTTGAGAAAAAGTAAGGGCAGGAAATTATCAGATTCCAAAAAGATTTTGATGATAAATATGAATTCAAGGAATAAAGATAAATCGTGGTTAAATAGTTATCACAGAGCTAAAATAATTAAAAAGACTAACAGTCTCGTTCGAATGGAAATCGTGGTAACTTGGTAATTATAAATTAGTGCTCACTGTTACTTCTTACCCACAAATTTATGCCACCCTAAAAAAAATTTTCGCACCTTTCCTGGAAAAATGTGCGTGCAATAAACCTTGTCTAATCTGAAGCCTCACGTTACTTCTTCCTTCACTGACGGGACGGCGCTCGGTTATTCCAAGCAATTCGTCAACAGCAAAACATACGTTTGATAAGAAACATAAAGGCATTATGATAAAATAAGTGAAAAGACGCAGGATACTGCCTCTACATCACATAGCTATCTTATGAGTCAGTTAAGCAGAAGCATTTAGCATAATAAAAGAAATCTACAGTTTCACATCAGGTGAATTAGAGACATGGATAGTTTCATAACACAACCTACATATATTTATATATATATATATATATATATTTACAATATCTATTCAGCTGTAGTAGTCGCGTTGTCAGCATCCAACTGTTTACCAAGATATTCCCAGTTATGCACCATTAACTTCTGGATTGCAAGCAATGAATGGTATCGTACGTTTGGATCGCCTGCCGTAAGTAACTTCATCACTGCTTGCTTACCTTGCAACTGTTCAATTTTGCTGGAATGGAAAAAAAAGTATAAAGATATATTACACTGATATATTCTCATAAAGAAAAAGATTTGAGAAGCGAACTTTTTGCCCCTCGGATAATGTCTCACATATTCTCCAATATCATGAACTGCTACGCAAAGAGCTAACGTGTCTGACTGTAGTTCCAAAATCTTGATCAAAATCCTGAAAATGTACACATGAAAGAAACTAGTAGTAATATTCGAACGTTTTAATATAAAAATAGAAACTTGCCGCAAAAGTTCAAAATCTTTTTCATTGAATTTCTGTGCATTTTCTCTCCAGAACTTCTCTGATTTATGGACCGGACTCCACTGCAGCCGACCTGATTTCACCTTTAAAAAATTGAAAAATTAAATCGCTCTCCACATCTGATAAACGATGAAAACTGGAAAAATTTTTTGGTAAATGTAGAAGGGTCAGTGTTTTAAAATCATCTTAAAATTTTCTTGGAATTCAACAGCTCCATTGAACCTGCCTCAGTGCCTGCCAAGAAGAAATAGCACTACGCAGCATATTCTGAAGCATACCTCCGATACATACTCGTCAAACGAAGAAAAGTCTTGGACCGACGAATGCAACTTTTGACTGAGGAATTCAACATCATCGTCCAACTCGGCGTCATCAAATTTCTTAGAGTCCATTAGCTCAAGCGTTTTCAGAGTCTTACATTGTACCATCTGTAAGGCTGTTTCTCGCTCGAGATCACGATCATCGACCTTCTCGAGAATGTTCCGAAACGTTCCCAAGATTATCCGAATTACCTGTAACAAGTGATTTCAAGAGCGGGATATCATTCTTTGCAAAGAAAAAAGTAATAAAATGATAAAAACACTAACAATCACCACAAACCCTTATACACAAACCATAAAAATACGTTAACTAATTTTATAAACTGAATTGAAAAAGTGCCAAAATATGTTTTACCTTTTCCTTGGTTGATTCCGAGAGAATATCACCAAGAATTTGAATAGCACCGCAATGCGGGAATTTTTCAGCTATGGCTGGATTGAATGTAAGACACCACAAGGAGAATATGAGTTGATACTGGAGTTGGAAATTAGTTTTGCCACTCAACACTGATAAAATACTGAAAGTACAAAATATTTCGAAGTCATTTACTATAGTACATAGAAAGATAACAGAGGGCGTAAAATCCGTTTTAATAAAATTGTCTATCTACTTATCCGAGCATCCAAATATAAAATATATTGGTTTCATTCCCTGAATTTATGAAATATTAGAGCGAAATTAGCGTTAAAGATTTAATTACTCGATGTTTGAAGCAATACACATTACTTCTAGCGGCAACAATGACTGTATTTACTTATCAAAGAACATTCAAGCAAAAAATAAAAATTTATTCAAAACCTTCTAATACCATCCATTGCTAAAAATGCATGACGATACTCATCAATCCGAAGCATCATCTGCAAACAACGTGCCGTTGTATTAATATACTCATTTCCAGCAGACTTCAGTTGATCCTTTAGAAATGAAATGTAGAAGTTCAAATCAGAACCCTCCATAAGTGTTGTACCAAAACATGCAAATTTTGCCAAAACCGATGACATCTGTGAAATGTTTTCTATGAATTGTAGCATCATAAAATTTATTACTTGAAAATGAAATATGCATTATAGACTTCTCGATATTAACTGGTTCCGAAATATACCAAATGCTAGCAAATGCAAGTAAGTGTTCATCGTGCATTGTTAGATATCACTTAAGATTTTAATATATAGCTGTTTATAGCTCAAAATAATTACATACAAAGCAATCAAGGGTAGATATCTCATAATAAGCAAGTAAGTACATATTTAACCAAATTATTTCAAAACCTTCTCGCTAAAGTTTTATTCAAAATGCAAACCTGATTTACAGTGAATGGATCTTGACGTTGTAAGATACCCAGAAACCATGACCACAGCGTACGCTTATTTTTTCGGGCATAGCTGTGAAATATTTCTACACGTGATTTATCTTCCTGAAATAAATCATCAGTCATTATTAAATGAAAAGTTACGTGCGACTGCAAGTGAAAGAAGGCTAAACAGTCTCATATTAGAGTTTTAGAATTTCTCATTTCTTTTCACAAATTGTGACATCTTTTTCTCAATAAGCATAAAGTTTTAATTACCACATTACCCTTTTGTTAAAACAGATAAATTATATTGGTTGAACAATAAAAACTCTGCTATGGTCAAATACAATGTTACCAAAAAATTTCAACCTCTGAATTATTCGACAGCTGAGAACCATGATGGATTTTCTTTTACTGTATTTTCAGACGAAATTATATAAGCAGACAAGATTATTGTTAACCCAGGTAGAATATGGAATACACAAATGAAACACTGAAACACTAACCATAATCATATCATCCAGTAATGTTAGTACATAACGAACATTTTGATCTTTGGCAACAGTTGTAATAAAATTGATCATTGTTCGTGCACATTCCATCTTATTATTCTCCAGGAGGGCATCACGATCTTGCTTAGTTTTTGTTGCTTCATATGCCATTATAAAATCATAATCTTCCTGGGAAATCATTTGGCTCCTGCAACGTCCATTTATTAACTTTAGAATAATTAATAATAATAATTTGGCTTAAAACGTGTTTTCTTATTTCAGAAATTACTTCCTCATTGCCTTATCAATTAGCGAAAGGAAGAAATGGTAATAAAGTGATAAACTTTTAATTAAAACAGATACGAAAAAATATCGTCAATAGTGAGAAAACAGTACTACCATTTTATGAAAAAAACAGAAATCCCGAATTGAGCACTATTTCTTCTGTTTTTTTTTCCAAACTTTTTTTACCTATTATTATGAGTTATTTTTTATTTTTCAGTAGATCACAAAGCTCTTTCCATCATAAATGATTTCTTATGTGTAATTGAAGCAGTGAGGAACAATTTGTTCCAAATTTACGAATAAGGAATATAGTTTATTCTACAACAGCTATGCTCTCCTCCATATCTATGGTTAGCGTTATACTTTAAAATACGACAACTTGGTTAGCGTTTCACTTTAAAATTTGACAATTATGGTTAACGTTTCACTTTAAAATACGACAACTATGGTTAGCGTTTCAGTTTAAAATACGATAACAGGTGTAGTAATAGGTGTAATAATATAATGATATAATAATAACATTGAAAACAAACCTTAAGTAGGAATTCCAATTTGGTCTGTTATTTCGAACATCGGCTGCTTCAAGTTGTAATTTACTTGTTGCACTAATCATATCGACTTGGGAAATTTGTGGGACATCCGCTGATATTGTCGAATCAGTCATTTTTTCGGAGTGAATATGCGCCGTATAGAAATGCTGGAAGTAATCGCCAAAAGTTAAGAAAGCGTTAACAACACCATTTCCGAATGTTAATTATTATACTTCCTTTCTCATTTCCTTCCATGATTACTTTTTGATACTACGATGATAAGATTAGATATATGTCCATAAAAACACCAGCGTAGCGCATAAACGCATAAAACGCTTCATACGAGAGAAATAACCGAAGTGAGAAACCAACGATCAAGCACAGGTATTCCATGTAAGACCATTTCCTTTTGAATATTTCGTCGCATACATGAACTGCAAGAGATTTAACAAAAGCAAGAGAGAGTTACGAAAGAATATCCGAGATTTCGAGATATATTGGGAGTGCAAGCCGAATTTATAAATGTTTGTTTAGGACTTAAAACTGGTTAAGAATGATTGATCAGTACATTTCGTATATATCATTTTCTCTCATACGGTTTTCATATAATTAACGTACAATTTGCATGCCTCACATTCGACAAAAATACTACTACGAAATCATTGTTTAGTTGTTCAATTTTACTTGATTATGAATGACAATTCTAATCGATTACAATATCCTGATTAACCGGATGAATTATGTTTATGTTATATCTATCACAGATCTTTTATATAATTTTTTCCTTCTGTTCCTCTTCATTTCACATTTCTTTTTTCTATTATCAATACCGTAAAGCTCAGCTCTTTGATTCTCTCACAGTCATTCACCCTTTTGTACCGAGAAAATAGATCTATCGGGAAAATCTTATTCTCATTAATGATTCATCGATGACGTCATCTTTCCTTTGCAATGTGTGAAAATTAGTCATTTGCTTCCAATGCAAACTATATTTGTTCAAATGCCTGATTACGAAATCAGATGGAATTCTTGAAATTTTTGAAATGCTACGAACAATCGTCAAGTGTGTATGCGTGTGTGTGTGTCATTTTGAAGGTTGAAAGAATTCGATTATATTGTTCATTTACGGGAAGAAAGTTGTTTTAGGTTAGAAGGCAAACAGTCTGATGACATATGCCTTATAATGTTGCTATTTTGGAGGCGAATTGTCATTTTATTTCATTCCCTGTTTTATGTCTGTTTATTGATAAATGGAGCATTTATTGACGGTAATTTTATTCGTTTTTCTGAATTTTTTTAACCACTGTGTTGCACAACATAGAAAGAAATGTTTTAAGCCATTAATTAAATCATTGTTTTAAATGATGAATTGATAACGTTGCCATTCTTTCATTCTCTTCTGTATTTTTTATCATCATATGATTAATTATATGTTAGAGTATATTTCTTTCATAACAAATGAATATGGTTAAAGGTGAAAAAGAAACGGATCTAAATGAAAGATTAAAATATTACGAAATTATTGAAGTGAATCGACGAATCGAAAAACGAGGCATCGTGGATAACAGTGTTTTGTACAACAAACAAGAACGATTAACTTTTAGGTCTATTTTCTTTTTCCTTTTTTTCTTCCAATACTTTACTAAACTTTAACATGTCAAATATTTGCTTACCTATGAAGCTAACATGTAAAATAAGAGTATGCTTGACAATTGAGGAATTATTTTTATTATAAATTTTATTTTGCACACGAACTAATTAATTATGAAATGTATGAACTTTTCTTTTGTTTTGTATATTTCACAGATAGTTGTCTATGAAACAAATGGAACAAAAAAAGAAAATTATATGGAATTTAATTTATGGTTCTCTTTAATTTTTTAGAGAATTTAAGAGGTATTTCTAGAGCTTTCAATCGCTTTTTTGATATATATCTTACACCAAAGAAAGGCATTCTTCATACGAACTTCAAATGTCGAGAAATAGACGAATATGGAAATGAAAAAATATGCACGGTTAATCCGGCTGAACATTTCGGTGGTCATTTGCATGGTGAAACATTTTACTATTATTTTAAATTCGTATTGCATCGATGTCTATAATTGTTTTAAATTTACACTGAATTTAATTATGAGTTGTTCATGCTTGATGCAACTTATATCATGCTTAATTTTAGTTGACTAGGTTAAATTAACCATTTTTATCCTCATCAACATTATGCATTTGACATTTAAGTCTAATTTGAAATTATTTTGCTCTTACTGAGAATTTAACTTGAATTTCAACTACTTGATCTATCTGTCAATTATACTGAATCGTATTTTCGGTGTTCTAAAGGCGCTACTGATTCGGTAGTAACAGTTAGCTACAGTGATGAGGGCTCGTTATTGGGCACCGTACAGAGTGATGGGGAAATCTACGTTTTCGAACCTGCAAGAATTTATTTCGTAACTTTTTTCCATTTTCTTTAAAATGAATATTCTTTATCATTATTACATGCACAGTAAATTTTGCTCTCCGCAGACGATCTTCCATCTAAGATTGATTTTCTATTTACGCAGCATATGTTTGAGGGTAGTAACAATTTAAATGTCTTAAATCTATTTAGCACATTGCATAAATATTAACTTTGACCTATAGCACATTTTGTGGAAAATGCATTGCTGAGAGAAGTACTAAAAAATAAATATGACTTATATGAAAAAAATCAAATTGCGTTTTTGTGTTCGAAATTACAGCAGTTATTTGTTTTATATATCAAAATCTCCAACTTCTTAAGCATATCAGTATCATCATGTTCTGAAGGGAATTTTCAGAAAACAGCTCATTCTCGTAAAGTCTTAGCTTATCGAAATTCGGATTTAAAACTAAACTATGAGGGAGGTAACGGATCATTCTGTTCATCGGTATTAGTAGGGAACTGGAAAAACGCATCATTTTCCCAATCAATGCGCATCAAAAGATTATCAGCATTACCGGCACATAAAAACCGGTCAGTTGATTTTCTTTTCTAGTCTAGGATACATCAATATATATAAGTTTAATTTCATCTGTGGAGGAAGTGATTTTTTTTGATTTGATTTTAGATGTGCCTTGCGCGTAGTTGCGGATTATCGATTTTTTAGAACGATTGGAAATGGTAGTCAAGCTTTCTGTGCTAGATATTTGGTTTGTTTCAGAATTACTTATCTAATAAGTTGTAGGAATCTACTTACAGATTTTTCTTGACCCTTGTTTTTTTCAGCCACGGTATCAAATCATTTTTTTCCACTAATTATCTGTGTAAGATATTTTGGAGTATTACATATGAATGCTTTTAATTCACGTCACTTTTCACTGCTGAAAAAATTTTTTTCTTGTCTTTGGACAAATAAATGATATCAATGGTATTAATCTCATAGATAAATGTAATTGATCGTGTCAATGCATTGTATACAACGACTGATTGGGGCATCGACGAGGACGGCAGACGATTGATTAATATGGGCTTCATGATAAAAGAAATGATAATTCATACGTCGCCTACTCTCAATCAACCTAACCATTATAATTCATATACCGATACTGAACGAAACGTCAAAGCTGTTCTTGATGTTAGTTATATTGTATTAATTTCCTTCTGATATGTCAGTGGGCAATGCCTACCTCAGCAGGCGTTTGTAGTAATCGAATTAATTAAAGCTGCTCTAATGAAAATGAAAAAGCAAAAAATTTCATTGATAGGTGAGATTAAATGAGCTGATTATACGTTGAAAATTATACATTGACATTGATTATGCTCATATGATATAATAAATGAAGGAGATGCTTTGATGATTGTCGAAAAGATGTATAGGTAGTTTATCACTTGATACAACTTCTGGTTAAGTCTCCCATTGTAATCCGCCTCACTTATTATGAAATATTTTCAGAATTTTTCCAGAAATCAAGGATCTGATAAATATTGCCTTGTTCATCTGTTTACAGCACAGTCATTTGAGAATGGTGTCCTTGGTTTAGCATATATTTCATCACCTGAACTTGATGCAGCGGGTGGGATATGTTCGGTGCAGGTAATCGCTTTTATTAATTTATTAGAAATAATTTGAAGTATTTCAGATTTGAAATTTTTTATTCCTCATTAAGATTAACCAGTTTCTATTATTACACAATATGATGCATTGAAGTTCGTTCCTTGATCTGAATTTAATTTTATTAAAATGCAGCGAAAATTATTAGTGACATTTTTAATAGATCACTTTTTTCGGTTCCTATTTATTGCACGAGTCAGTTTCCATCTTATTAAATACTAATAAATTCTTTATTGGTTAGCGATAATTGCAAAGCCCCCTGGATAGAGTTGTTCAGCTAACATTTTGCTTTGATTTCTAACTGCGAAATCTTCTTTGTTTTAATCCTTACCAGGGATTGTTTTATTTTAGATGGTAGGTTAATTTGCAGGTGGATAAAAACAAAAATGAGGAACCAAGAACGGATTTGTAATGATCTTATCACTTAATGAATAATTACACAATTATAATTCAGAATAAGGATCGATTAGGTATTGTCTATTACAACACTGCTCTTTCAAGCACAAAGGCTACTCATGGTGGCACAGTGGTATCACGTGAAGCGGATATTGTAACGGCTCACGGTAATCCAGTCTTCTCTTACTTATTGAGCAAGCATTCCATGCATTCCAGGCATTCAAGCATTTTTTGCGAAATTTCTTATTACATTAACATGCACTCTACACTCGATGCTATGCATTTTAATACCAATGGGTACAGAATATAATAAATATAGAAGATATGCAATGGAATGATTATTGATTGTATTATCTGAATATTTTTTTCTATCATTCAAAGCTCTGGAATAATATTGTCCTTATTCTGATGAACAAAATTAAAAATCGCAATTTTAATGAATTCGATGTTTGTTCCTCATAAGGTTTTGTAATCTTCAGAATTAGGTCATAATTGGGGTGCGACACACGACGATTTGTCGATGGAATGCTCACCACCATACAGTTTAGGTGGTTCTTATATTATGAACACTTTTTCCGTCTCTGGCTATGATGAGAATAATAATGTGAGTTTGCAGATAATTTAAAAAGAATGTAAAAAGTAACTTATGTATAAATCGGGAATAAATGCTATAAAAATTTAGGATAATTCGCGATGTGCTGTTTATTCCGTCCACTAAATTTTCCAATTGTATTTTAGGTTATTAGAATTTTTATCAGTGAGTAATTTTGTCGTATTTCATTTCGTGTGTCCGAATCCATCTTTATATTCTAGATAAGAATTTTATTGAAAGTGCAATCTTTCGGCTGATAAATGAGGGCTCAATGTTTAAGAAAATTTTTTTGCTGATATACTTTAATGAATGGCAAATATAATATCTCGATTAATAGCGTTTTTCACCATGTTCGCGTCGTCTTATTGGAAAGGTTTTGTCACGAAAAGCAAATATTTGCTTTGAACCGGAAATGAATGCGTTTTGTGGTAATGGTAAAGTTGAAAATGATACAAATGGTTTCGCAGAAGAATGTGATGTTGGTGGTTTGCTTTCCGAAACTGCTGATGAGTAAGTAATTTATAGATTGTTTTCATTTGATTTAAAGATTTTAGCAATATAAAGTAGTAGGAGGGTATTTTGTCGTAGTTAAGTGAATATTGCGTATAAGAAAAATTTATTAAAATATCAGGTCACGGGAAAATTTGAGCTATAGTTTTTGAACTAATATCTGATATTTAAGAAACTATTTTTAGAATATTTATGGTTCTGAAACCTCATTTTCTCCATTATATTGTACTTATTGGTGTTTCTAAAAATAAATAATTGGTTTCAGATGTTGCACATCAGATTGTCGTCTTAAACCGAACGCGATTTGTTCGCCGAAAAACAGTCCATGCTGTTCAAATAAATGTCGGTTTCTTCCATCAACTCATCTTTGTCTTCATGAAAACCGATTCCAATGCAAGCTTTCCTCATACTGCACGTTAGTTCGCTGATATTTTGTTCCGGTGAAAATCCGTTGTGAATAATGTGAAATCTAAGGACCAGGTGAAAATGGGAAGGAGTTAAAAGTCACTTCTAAAAAAAATGAAATTTTGTTCCTTTATAAATCAAGACATTTTAATCAGGTGATGTAATTAAATTAGTAACTAATGGTGAGCTTTTTTCAAGGGGCGATTCAGGTGAATGTCCAGAGCCTGGTTACGTGCAAGATGGTACGCCTTGCATTGAAGATGGAGAATGTTTAAAGGGCCACTGCCTTACGTTCTGTGAAAGACCGTCTATCAATAAAAAACCGTGCATGTGCAGTAGAGGTTAGCTTTCTGATTATATTAATAACATTTGATGCTTGATTACCAGGTCATTGGTTTATGTATATAGTATCTAATTTCCATGTATTGTTCTCAGCGAAATCTTTCCAACTATTTCTGTGTTCCCTGTAAAATACTTCTCCTGGTGTATTCGTTAGATATAGCTATCGATTTTTAAAAATTTGAAGATGAAAAACTTTCGATGATTCGATAAGGATAAAGACATTGTGCAGTATGCCATCAACTAATACCTGCTTTAATGATTGGTAAGGCCATCGGTAATTTCATAATTGCATCTTCACCAGTCAACTATTCGCTTGCCAGTTATATTATGAGTTTTTAGTTACAGTTGTAATTATAATGATGAGCATGAGAGTAATTTGATTTGAGTTCATTATTAGCGCTTGCAATGAAAAGTTATTTCATGAAACATTACAGAAGCAGTTGCATGCCTACGTTGTTGTCGTTCTGAAAACGGAACATGTGAGCCATATAGTTATGATCCGAAATATATCTTAAAAGATGGTACTCGTTGTATTCACGGCACATGTTCGCAGGTTAATTTTTGTCCTTTTAATTTTGTATTCAATTGATAGCAACAAATAGCGCGATGGCAGCAAATAGCTTCTTGGAATTTTTGATAGGAAAATATTCTTACAATTTTCGTAAACTTATCCAGTTGTCTGCAGAAGTATTGCATGATATAGATATGAGGTTATCAGAACCTAGCCATCGATCAGTTGAAAAATATTCGTACTCTCTTCAGTTTTGGACTTTTTAAGTAACTGTTCGGAAATCTTCGATCCTGTTTTCATTTTATAAAATATATGTATGACATACGGAATGATGTTTGATTAATTCTTTCTGCACAGGCCGTTTGCATTAAAGAAGTAGCTGATTTTGTTTCTCATTTTTGGTACATCATCGAAAATCTTGATGAAACGAATTTTTGTGAGTATTATTACTTACGTATTTTAATTATTAGTACAAGTATGTTCGATAAAGAAAAGTGATATGCGCTTTTGGGACTGTTAACTTTAGATCACAGTCAGCTTTTTGATATTCGAAACTTCCTACTTTCTTTGTATTCGCTGTAGCTGTTTTATCATTGGTAGAATATTCCAGAAAAGAGTTATGATTAATTAAATTGATATCTTTATGAGTGGAAATGAATATTAATTTCCAGGGAAATTCGTTGGCGACAATTTGGTTGGTATCATTGCAGCTGTTGTTCTAATTATATGGATTCCTGCAAGCATACTTATTCATAAAATAGTATATATTTTTCATACTATCCGAAAATTTTCTTTCTATTTCCATAATGAATTATCATGCCTGTGACACACTACCTTATTATGTTTTTCTGCATAGTTGATGTCTCATGAGTGGTTTTGGTAACTGTGAAAACTCAGAATAAATTGCCTGGGAAGATATGTTAGAATAATGATGGCAAGCTAATAAGATTTAAGTGTTTCTGGTTCTTGATTATAATTTCGTCTCTTTTCTGTTTTTAGGATAAAGCGCGTGAAGTTGCAGCAGTAGGGGAAAGTGAAAGTCGTATCGAAGTTGTAGGAGAAAAATCGATCTACAAATACATCATTAATGCACATTCTCCGACAAGTGATATCGATAGAAATCTTCGATGCTAATTCAAATATTCATCTTCATTGGCAAAGGTATTCCTCATGGATCATAAAAATCGTAGTATTCTGGAGAAAAATTCATGAAGCAATTCAATAATTTAGGTCATGTGCTATGCAGTTGTTAATTAACACTTGACTTTTGGTCCGCACAATTTTACTATCTAATTTTTCTTGATTACCGTTTTACCATTCTAGTGTATACGATTTTGTCCCAAGATTATATGTTTTATTTGTAACTTCACATTTCTATTTGCTTCTCCAATAGAAATACAAAATATATCTCAAAATATATCTTTTAGGCTGAACATGCACTATTTTGTTCATACTTGAAATTAAAACATTGCTCTTAATAAAATTCGGGTCAGAATATACTAGGTTGCCAAGTAATCTCAATGACTCTCGATGACTGATTTCATATGGATTTTTCCATATTTCGAATTGGCTCCGTTAATTAGTTCACCAGCATTTTTGATGCAAAAACTTATAAAGTTAACAGATGCCTTTTTACGAAGAATATATTGTGAGTAGAGCTTGAATTCTAGATATTATTCTATGCTACCAAAAAATCATTTTTCAAGTTCCAAGTTTGAAAATAATTTAAAAAATTATTGTTATTTCCTGGGATGATCGAACTGATCATAATATTAAAAGCTTTTATCGAGCCTATATGTAGTTTTATGTTCCATATCTCCTATGAAATCATTTATTTTTATGGGTTTTTTATGCAACTATTCCCAGTTAAAATCTAAAAATATTGCGAGAGGGGGTGAGGCGTGTGAAAGAAGGAAAGGTTCTGTAACTGTGCATTATTCTGAATGCTTTTTTAGCGTTCCCTCTAGTTGCAAGATAATAGTTTCAGTTTCGGAAACAATAGTACGTTCTCATTAGCCTACTTTTATTGTTGAAGGTTGACTTTATGATCAAAAGTTATATCATTTGCTTAAGTAGGGATTAGATACTCTATTCTCGTACATTTTACGCCACGGAACCAATCTGAACTTTTTCACTGTTAATATATAATTATACAATACATAATCATCAAAAACTCGAATTTCCTACACACTCCTATTGATTAAAAACGTTCTGTTTGTTTAGAAGTGCATAGGAGATGAAGAACGACCCATATGAATTCCTTTCTTGGATTGTTTCGCATAGTTTATGAATATTTTTATGTTTTGTCTTATTCGCTTAATCTGTGTCTTTCATTAAATAAATGATATTATGAAAATAATGCTTTTATTGAAAAAAAATTGCTTTATACATAGGAACCAATGATCATATTTTTTTCGTAATGCTTCGTCCCCGTAGAGATTAACAATATTTTGTAACTGCAACGAGAAGTTTCGAAATGAGAAATGCGAGGGGGAAGCGCATTATGATATATTTAATACAGTTGATCAAATAAAAAAATCGCTCGGTAACTCAACCATTTAGATTATTTAGATTACCAGCATGATGGGAAGTTCTTCCATTTTTTAACAATAGTGGAAACTTTCGAAATGCAGAAGTGGAATAAGCAGAATAGCGAACAGAATGTGGAAAGCAAAAATAATTTAAGCTGAGTGCAGTTTTAACGCAGCAACTTTTTGGTGTTTCGAATGAATCACGATTTACTTGTTGCAGGGCTATTTTTCTCTTGTGTTTTCAATCTGTACTTTTCTAAAGCTCTTTCCAGAGTTTCCACACATGTGCTGTGACCAAATTCTTTGGCATCATCGAGAGGTGTTCGTCCGTATCGATCCAGTGGATCTAAACTGTTAGAAGATTTTCAGAAAACAGACAAACTTGGACTGTAATTTATGATGCTAACTGTCCCTAATATACTTCCTATGCTTCAGAAGCACTCATCTTTGATAACCTTTACCGCTTCATGAACTACTACTGCTAACTATATACCTTATTGATACACTGGTGGGAATTATAACCATTATCAATCTCTGTGTTGTATGTGCAATACATTAGTATTAATGTTGTCCAATCCTTACCTGGACTTTCCTGCCATCGTTGTAACAAAAATTTCAGAACATTCTCATTCCCATGTGCAGCGGCAACATGCAATACAGTTCGATCATCGTAATCTCTTTCAGCGATACCAGCACCCAACAATAGATATCTGAAACAAAAGAAAGAGAGAATACTAGAAGCTCATATGCCAAGCATTTTTTCACAAAAACTGACAATTCAGAAAATAAGCTATTCAGTTTTCATGCTACAGCAACAATTTTCAGCTCTATGGTATTTCATTATCTCTTTATGACCTTAAATATTAGCATGATTGCCCAATTATTTCCGTTTTCCATTCATTTTTCCAATTTATTATTTCGTCTTTACTGAACTTCACATTTTTGAATTTTTCAAAAAATTTTCATCTTAGATTCTATGTCTTGAAAATTTCAAATGTTGTACTTTTGATGTTTCGTTAAATTCAAATTAAACAGAAATGATAGCCGCATGTTAAATTCAAATTAAACAGAAATGATAATCGCATTCCCAAGAAAGCTTTGGAGTAACGATTCCGTTTAATTCATCCCACTCCCTCCGCAGTTAGACCTCCGATAGTCAAATTACTAGATTTTTGCTGGCCAAATGTCATCAATTTTTATATACAATCGATTCACAAATATAATATATGGAATGCCCACCTTTGAATGGATGAAATGTCACCAGTAGTTGCAGCATACATCATATTCAATATGGATTCATGTTTCACTTCCCGAATTTTTTTTCGTGGGTCGATTTTATGAGTTTCCGAATAAACCTTCAATCGGATGGTAACAATCACCCAGAATTTATTTTGATCTTTGAGTTCAAAAGCTTAATTCCGGTGGTGAAAAATTCGTGACAAAAAGATCTACCTTTAAAACTTTCAAATATGAATAAATCTACTTAATCAGCCAAGACATACAAGGCTGTCATAGTTATGGAAATTGAATTTTTCCACAAACTGTTCTGCAAATTTCACTCCTCGAACTGTATTGCCAAGTTGGTCAAGTGGTGGCGAAAATAAACAAATACCCATGACATTTGGTACAACAATGATCATATCACCCGAAACACCACTTTTTGCCGGTAAGCCAACCTGGAAAAGATGTCTGCAGAGATAGAAATGAGTGATTGATTTAGTGGCTTATTATTAAACAATTATTCACTATGAAAAGACCCAGTACAATCCATACCTTGAAAGCGAATTGCCCGGAATAATCATACATTCCGCATGAATACATCAATGATAATGTATCACGGACCGCTCGATTGCACACAACCCGTTCCTCACTTAGTGGTGATACCCCACCATTAGCTAATGTAGCCGCCATAACTGCTAACGTATCGACATTGGTTTCGATTGCACAAAGTTGAAAATACAAGTCCAAAGTATCCTAAAATATAAAATAAAATCACAATAAATCTAGACTAAGAAAAATGACTACATTTGCACATGATCTAAGTGCAAACCGATCATAAGCTTTTCAAAATTGAAAACACTTTATCATGGTGTAAGGATAGTGGGTTAGAGCGTTACTGAAACACAGCATATTTCCAGAAATTCCGGTCAAGTTAAGAATTTCGACTAAGTCAGAAGAGAGTTCATGCTATATCACATTCTGTGCGTATTTATGCCATCTTTAACTGAAAAATATCTAAGCATCCCTCTTATTTTCACGTAAATGAAATGCAAAGTTAAATTAACATCTTTAAATATGAAAGCCGTCTGCATAGTGCGTCTAATGTCCTATATCAAATGTGATCATCATCGAATCGGATAATTCGTCAAGAAATTTTAAATGCTCAAAAACTTTACAATTCTAAAATAAAATCAGTATTGTGAACAAAGTTAATTTACTTGCAAACTGGTGTTAGGCGGGAAACATTTGTGTTCACGCATATAGTATGACAGTGCATAATTTCGGTCAGCCGTTTCGCGCTCAGACAGAAAGACGGCATTGTTGAAGCCGACGAAACCCCCTGCGGCAAATCGTTTGAAATACTGTAACGCAAAATCAAAACGATCGGCTAGTGAGGTTGACTGTTTAAGCAACGATGCTACTAATATAGCTCCAGCATTGATCATTGGATTATGTGGTTTATCTAAAAGTTATTGTCATTATTCTCTTTTCATTAATTTCTTATTCTGAAGTTTTTTGGAACTTTTCATTTTTAAAATTTGTCGGATTTATTCAATGTATTTCATTTTTGCATATCATATTTTCCAGTTTCTTTGAATTTCAAGCATAGCTGAAAAATTTTTTCAAATTACATATTCCACACTTCATGCATATATATGTATTTTATTTATATTCATCGCATCTTAAAGATTTAATGTAAGTAAAGACAAAAAATTTTGGAAATGTTTTGCTTATGCAGAGAGGAAATTTGATTTATACAGAGTAGAAATTTGATTTTTTGGTGAGCAGAAATTTTCACCTTGATAATTGAATTTTCATCTCGTCAACATCTCGATAAGAGTATATAATCCAACTCTCTCCACCTAGTTATTAGATCTCGCAAATCTTATAGATGCTAAACACTAGGATCAGAAATCCAGAGGAATGTATCGTTTGCTAATTGCTCAAGTATTTCATGAATTATTCAAAGTATTTCTAACATCTTCCAAGCTCATATTTTGCAGCTGATTTAAATTCAAATTAGAGCCATAAAACTTACGCGGGAAAACTAGGAATAACTTAAAAATGTAGGAAAGCATTAGACAATTAAATATTTACTTAAAGAGTATCATGCAGTAAACTAATGGTCTACGAAACCATTTAGAATGATGAATTGTCGGTATGATTTAAAATTTAACGATACCAACAACCGATCAATAGAAAACTACTAGTGTAACCTAACGGATATTCGCATCTTACGATTACAAATTTCGCATAATTTTACTTTGACAAAAGAAATAAATTTTGACTAGTCAATTTAGTTTTCTTTGATTGTTAAAAAGTCATATGTATGTATTATTTCATTCACTAACGAATACACAAATATTTTAAGCTCTTCTTGCCAGTGTGACATAAATCAATTTGATCAATTGTCGAAGAAAGCTTAAAAAATCTCAATAGTTGCTGCACATAATGTATGCATTCATTCATTAATAAAATGTTGCTTCCCTCATATACCTCCTTGTTTTGCATCTTTTCAAGCAGCTATTCAACATGAATTACTACGAAAGACTTTAAAATTAAATTACTTTCATTTTATGTTTCACATGATTTCCCAATATAATTATAACATTAGATTGTAACATGAGATATTGTTACATAGTAAAAGTCAATAGTAGCAAAAGGATAATGCAAAGTAAAAAATGCACAGAGAATAAAGATCACCAGACATGTTGTGATATGATGTGTTACTAAACAAATTATTTGATGTTGGCACTAAATTTTGATCATTTAAAGACATAAAGTTTAGATTATAGAATGCTTTAAAAAAAAAGGAATCACTTACGATTATGATCCAAACAAATTTCATTGAATAGTCGACCCGATGGTTCTTGGCCAACATATCTATGTACCTTTAATAATTTCAGATATGGCAATGAAAGTCTTTTTTTCCCTTTTGTTTTCATGATTTCAAGCGTATATGATTTAATATTGCTGATCAAATTTTAAATTTCGAAACATCCTATCGAATTTGAAAAAAATGGGAAATGTAGATCTACCTCTTCTGCGCCAAGCTCATTCATAGCAATGGCATAAGTGAAGGGCTTTGATACACTTTGCAAGCAGAAGGGTATCTGGGTGGCACCCCACGATCGACGCTGTCCATCAACAGTACAAACCGACATGGCCCAGTATTTCGGATCTGATCGAGCCAGTTGCGGAATGTACGTTGCTACCTGTGAATATTAACCAGGTAAAATTATTCATTGAATCGAATTTCATTTGACCAACTACTCGGCCAATTAAGAAGATTACAATATGTTAATGACCGTGGGGAATAAATACGATCAAATCAGACTAAAAACGAAAAGCCTTTTCTGATAAAATTTAATGTTTTGCACATCGTTCTGAAAAAAAAATAGAAAGGAAGCCAGCAGAGTTCCAAAGTACTCATATTGATTGAAAACAACTAAACAAAGGTCGGTCAATAATGACAGTCAAATAATTAGAAAGTAACAAAATTCAAAAAAAAATCATAACAAGCGATGAATCATTTCGCCGACTTATATTGCATCCGCAAAGATATTCTTGCAGAAAAAATTTCTGTAGGCTTAAGACCCATACTATATAGCGGGGAATTTTTGTTTTCAATTTTTTCCTCATTTCTCTATGAAAAATCAAATACAAAAATTTCAATAGTGCATGTAATAAAAAAATGGTCAGTGGCTCGCATCATTAGCTTCCATTCGGAGTGGATGGAATGTAACTTTTGTTAGCAAAGCAAAATTCATTGATTGACGACTATGGGATAATTCATTTTTTGACAGTTGCTGCTAACTGTTCACGCATCAAAAGAGATAAAAAAAATTCCTGTAAGCTAAAACGTATATTAGGATTTGATAAAACAAGTTTCAATTTTTTTTAATGGATTTTCCGACGAATTTAAATCACATAATATGAAAACAGATTTATGATCTTGACTTTTGCTATATCACAGAATGAGCAAAAAGTGTTTGGAGTGAAACTCACATTTCCATCATTGAAATCACGGCATGATTCAAAAATTTCACCAATAACTGCAATAAATGCTGGCCAATCAGGGATTACGAGCTGTTTTTTCAGTGCTTTGGCAATGATTCCGATTGCATCACCAACATATCTAAAAACAAACGCTTACGGTTAGCTTTGTTGACGACTTAGTCATAAAATTTAATGTAGAAGAAACCTTTTGAAAGTTTCTCGATCCAAGTTTTCATTAATCACTTCAGTGGATGTCATATCTGAGACGGACTGCTTTCGTTCGTCATGTCGTATTGCATGTAAAAAGTTGGCTAAACGAGGATCATCACCTCTAATTCCAGTTTCATAAAGTAACTAAAAATGATCTGATAAGAAAATTATTTAAAAAATTGTTATCGAGAAAATGATTGACTTAAATTATCACAATGACAGTCTGAAAATTTAACTTTTCGAATTACTTCAATCATTCAGTGGAACAGCGGAAAACGTGCAAGGCTATCATATTAGCGTCTGGTTGCAAAATTTTTGGGTCTTCACCCAAAATTGTACAACTAGGTTGTTTTCCCGAAAAAACTAATCCGAATTCCGATTAACGGCAAAAATTTACAAACAAAATTCGATTAGAAGAGTTAGTTCAAAAAAAGTTATTTCACTTCCTGTGAACTTCATCAACTTTCTTTCTCCCAGTATTCGATAAAATTACCCATTCTTCGTGAATAAACAATTTTTAAGATGTAAAAAAAATCAAATTTCTACATGAATATTATTTTGCAAAAACAAAATTTCACTTTCTTAAGCGTTTCAATTCTTGAATTCTGCAGTTCTTCGTGCTGTTTTACGACACTTGATAGTGATATTTGAATCAGGTCTACTTGACAAATGTCATCAATGGACGGTAAATATAATTCTCATAGAGTAAGACGACTGCATGGAAAATCAATGAATGAACATAATAAAGCTCCCAGTTAGCAAAAGAAAAACAAACGGAAAACCTTCAATAAACCAGACGATGATAACGTTTCGGATTCCGTATTCTTATAGAGATCAAAGACGGCATCATCGATATGTGGGGCACCTTTTGAACTCGCAGAATCCGTTGAAATTTGTCGCTCATGGATGCAACCCATAGAAGTTCCTGACTGTGACAATTTGTCGCTTCGTCTAAAAACATGCTTTTTCAGCAAAAAACAACCAATTTTAACAAACATCCTATCTATAAATAATCGAAAAATGTAAATTACTTTCAGATATATCAAAAGAATACTTTTATTTTAGGCAACAAAAAAGGATTTGGTTTTTCAGTAGCGTTCACTTCTCATAAATGATAAATATATGTATTTAAGAAAAAAAAGAGCTATTCTTTTGAAAAATTTTTCGATTTTTTCTATGGCACTCGTAGAAGATCGTTAAATCTAAAAACCATAAATCGACAAGGCAAACCCAACAAATACCATGAAAACCATTCATAAGGAAGGGCATTGATGAAAAAAGCACAAGTAGTTGTTGACCTTTGTACTATTTCATTATTAATTGGAAAGCACGGTACGGCTGCCAAAAAGATCATATTTCTGTGAGAAAGTTTCAGTATGATTTATAAAAATTTACTTCACAATTAAAAGAAAATATTGATTCATTTTATTTCGATGTGTAAAATGTTGGAAAGAAGAAGAAAAAAAGGAGAAATTTAATAAATTTGTTAATTCATTCCCCTTTCGTTCTGCAAAGTGGCTTCATCACAAATATATAAATCCCAGTATGCTTTTTTCTTCTTTTTACATCGAAAAAGTAAGCGGAAGAAGAAATAATAGTCTGATGCATACATACAAAGAGTGAGCTTAAAAGAAAGAGGTAATAATCTAACGATATCATAGAATGCCCTGGTAGGGTAGAAGAAATAATTTTACAATACCAGAGAATAGCTTGCAAGGATAATTTGGTGATATAAAAACGGATTGAAATATCAAAGAATGGTCTGGAAGAATAGAAATGAATAGTTTGATGATGTCAAACATTCGAACCAACCGGTCACTTCCTATGGCCTCTATCTCATTACATCCTGTTCTCCCTCGCATATTCCTCCTTTTTTTTCCTTCATCGAAAATTACAATAGCAACAAGAAGCTATTAATTTTTAAACAACTTGTCATGACTGAAATGCTTAACTTAAATTTATCGCTTCCATTCTCTCTCACAAGTTCTTCTCCTTTTTTCTCCTTCATCAGAATTGTTGTCGTAATTTTTTTTATATAACTTATCATAGCTACAAATATTTAGCTTAGATTTTGGCAATAAAAAGAATTAAAATCAGCAAACAATTTTAATTAGAAAAATTCCATTGCTTTTGCCTCCATTATGCCGAAAAAAAAATGTCAACACGTATAAGAAATAAAATTATATCTGAGACGAGATAAAAATCATCGATAAGAATGAATGAAGTAGAGCTGGTGATAAACAACAATTGTTCAACTATAGTCACATGCGTAACAATATATGATCATCCCTCACGTGACATCATTCATAACAATGAATTCATTCCAAGGTTGGATGATGATAGTGAATAAGGCTTGAGAAAATTTATTTATTTCCTTCTTTTTAACGAAAAACAGTATCAGAGGAAAAAAAGGAAAGAAACGGAAGATATCGAAAATTTTTTCAGAATACATGATCATCCCTATTCCTAAAATGAAAAGGAAAAGGAAAAAGATGGGAGAGAAAAGCACCAATGAAACGATAATAAATTGTGAAAATGCAAATAAGGAAAATGGAAGCCGTTGAAAACTGAAAAAAGCCTACCTCCGAATTAAACGCATTCTCAACGCAGATGATAGTAGTAGTATTGCTTCGTATTTCGAAAATATTTCCCTGTCTTTCTCCTAAAGTGGATATGAAGTGACGACCTTTTTTTTGATGCTTACCGAAAGAAATGAAAAACAAACAAAAAAGTGAAATGAAAAAAGAAAAAGAAACAAAATAGAATGAAAAAAGAAAATAAAAGGCATTAAAATTCAATTTCAAAAGTACAAAAATTGACCTCATCAAAGCAAACGAATAAGATAGTAATAATAATAATAATAATAAAAGAGCTGGAAGGAGAGGAAAATGATAGAAAAGATTGGATATTAATTTTCATCTGCAAAAAATTCTTCCTATTATATAATCATGAAAAGAATGCTCTTGTCGTTTAAGAAATATTAAATGCCGTAGTTGAAAATTAATTCTCATTACTTATAGTTCAAATGATCCGAAAACAAGAATAGAAAGAAGGAAGAGAAAAAGAAAGGATTGAAAGAATAGAGGAAATTTTTTGAATACTTGAAACTAGATGTAAATTCTTTTTTGAGAAAAAAGGGAATTGAAATTTTAACAGCGAGAGTGCTATTATAAAAATTGTGTTATGTGAATAATTTAAAACGTAAATGCACTTGTAGTCGTCCCAGATGCATCATACATGCAGTTTAATGAACATTTTCCTTTCCGCTCTTCTCATTGGGCCAATATAAATCTTAGGCTCTTGGCATCGATTGATATTGCTATAACTTTGAAGTTAAGGATAGCAAAGCGGAAATTATTGTGGGCAAAAGAAATAGAGAAGAAGGGACGTAGTTATTTCTTTTTTTATTAATAAAAACTTTTGAAAATGTTAAAAAATATGTCAAAAAACAAAGAAATACAATTAAATAATGAAATATTTTGAAAAACGTGAAATATTTGCTCACATGCGATGTTCTTAGGATAAACATTATAACCATATAATCATACAATGATAAAAATATTAGTGATGAATTAATAATAACAATTGCTATTAATAACAATTAATAATAATATAACAATTGCGAAATAATAATAATAACTTATCATGAAAACAATAATACTAAGAGGTCAAGGGTCTGAATAAAATTGATTCTATCGATTTGTCATTATGATTTCTTTCATCATAGCATTGTGTAAATTTATTTTTGTTCAGGTTAATATTTGATACTGTTATATATTTAACTATAAATTATAAGCTATATATAGTTATAAGATATCTAAGTTAATATTTGTTCATACATGCACTTATACTGGTATTCGTAAGCACTGTTGTCGTATTTTTGGTTTACTTGTGGTTTCTGATTTCCCAATTGCGCAAAGTTTCTTCTGTTGTTAAAGAAAATAATAATAAAAAAATCCCAGAATAATTCCCAGTCAAACTGGGAATTGTTAGTTTCTGGGATTATTTTCTACAGTAGGAACAACCACTGTCTACCAACCGTTTAGATGAATTCGAATGGAAACAGTTTTTCGGTTTGAAATGGCATGCATACTAAGATGCATAAAAAAGGAAAAAGGAATCTCGCTAAAAGGACATTTTGAAATAGAATGTAAGATTCAAAGGATGGATGAAACATATTCAGATTGACATTCGATCTCATAACATCGAATGTTAGCCATAACTATACTTTGTACTGGATTTCTGCATTGTCGGAATATTTCTTCGAGTAATGATAAAGTGACCTTCTGTCTGTTGAATTTTACATGAAAGAAGCAACAACATGGAGAATCGATGGTAGATTTAGGAGTAGCGGATAAGAAGTCATTCAGAGAATGGAGATGGAAATAGAGGCAAGGATGAATGATAAGAGTGGACATGTGCAGAAAATGCACGCCAACGGAGAATTGATGGAAAGAGAGGTGGGGATGAATGATGGGAGTGGACACGAGCACAAGGTGAAGGAGATAATGTACGCCGACAGAAAATTGTTTAGATCAGACTTAACTTTAGATCAACTATGCAGTTTTTTTCTGCGAAATGGAGATGGAAAAAATGAGTGAAACCATGAACCACAAAATATCAAAAAATTGATATACTTAGTTATATTCTGTATCGAATAAGTCTGAAATTTTATTTGTTTCTAATCTAGCTCATATCGTTGTTTTATTTTCCCTAATCTATCCCATATCATATTTTAATGTTTATCTGACCTGATCAAAAATTATTTAAACTTTTCATTCTAATTAAAATTTATTGTCAGCAGCAGTTCTGCTGGGCAAAATACCAATAATTAACACATATTTAACACTACACATCTATTAAAACATGCTCAGTGGAGATAACTTATTATATAAGTTATATAATTTATACTTGTTATGATCGACTTGACACTCAAATTAATCACTATTTCACGTAATTAAATTATATGGTATGCAAGTAACAAGCGCTTTAAACTTCTTGTTAATATATGTACTATAATATTTATACTTACTATAACAGAAATCTATAACAGCATGATTTAATTTACATCAAATAGATATCATTGAATGACAAGTTCTCCGACGACAAAAATGCCCTCACGATAAATGAGCACAATCGAGCTAATCGATTTGCAGGGACGACAGCTGACCAAGGAAATTAATTAAGTTGAAGCCGGTCCAATTGAAGTAGAAAAGATACTAGTCAGAAGAATAAAAAATTGCACGCAAAATTGTATAGTCATTTTGATTATGGATCATTTTGAATTAAAATGAGCTAATTTAAGTTTGATAATCAATTTCAAATGAATAATATAAAGGATAGAAAAGATGTTGAAGTAAGATGACAAAAAAGAAAGAGAAAAGACATTAAAAGACACGAAGGGATAAAATTACTTCGGTGTTTCGGTAAGTTAGTGACATATTGTACGCTCGCAAATCTTTAAAATATAAATTTAATATAAAAGGATAATATAATATTAAATGAACTTAGCAACTAAAAACTTGCCATATAATCAGTTATCTTATTGATTTATTACAGCTTGCACGGCAAACAGAGCCAGATACATAACAAAATTACGATTGCGATTGCTTGCTTAAGCTTCAAGAATATAAGACTCGGAAAACAATTCGCCGTCTTATTTAAAATAATCTTAATGGATTATAAATAATTCAGGTTGCCTTTTAGCTCTTAATATCCTAATACATAGAATTTCATATATTAAAAAAAATTTCGAGTTTAGCAGTTACACGTAACATTATATCATTACACGTAACATTGTGTATTACCTTTTATCATCCACGCATTATATTTTACATTTAAACATTCATGAGATTTAAGCTCAATGACAGAGCTTATATCTTATGTTCAAAGCGAAACAGCGTACATTTTAAAATATATTTAAAGGCGAAATATGCCAGGTACCCAGATACTGTGTTATATGTTCAAACATTAACAAAATATGACACGTGCTTATGCGGCAACAAAGAAAATAAGATTTTTTTAACGCACACAGATCATAAACATTTTAATACTGATAAAGTTTTGTTTTTCTTTTCAACATATGCAAATTCAGAGATAATTTACAAAGGAACAAACATCATTGCTTATATTTGATGTAATGACATTTAGCCGATGTTTGGAGAACCAGAATTAATAAGTAATATTTTAATCCAACGAACAATAAAGAAATAAACTTTTCAGACAGAGCCACGTCGAACAAGAAAAGAACGGCATCGCAAAGATGTTCCTTTTTTCGTCCCGCATCTTACAACGAAAACTTGCCTTCCGTGGTGAATAAATGCTATTCTGTTTGTTTCTTAAAAATTTATTCTTTAATTTGTGATTTTAGTTTCAGGTTCAGATCGTCATCGTATGTCGTTCCCTAGCTTATCTCTTTAATAAGCCGTTAATGTTATGGTTTAGTCATATTAGATTTCAAACAGTTGATCCTTAATCATATCCATTTTACTTGTTCGAATTAATCTAAATGTTCAGTCATTCGTGATATCCTATTGATCACATTGAAATAATTTACAAAAATTTGTTGTTGAAAATTATCAAAATTGTTGGATTTTATAGAATATGTTCGGTGGCTCGAAGGGAACTGGTACAGGATTTACCTTTGGGTCAGCTTCAACTACAACAAATACGACAATAGCAAGTATACCGGGAACAGCGAAACCGTTGTTTTCTTTTGGTAGTGTTACGACAGCTTCTGCTACCACAACTACTACACAATCCTCCGGATTTTCCTTTGGCGCCACATCGAAACCATTGTTATTTGGTGGAACTGCTACAAATATTCCTTCCACTACCGGTATCACAACTGGATTTAGTTTTGGATCCACAGCTAATAAAGGTTTTTACTTTTCTTCATTTGAGTTCATCGTGTAAGACCTTATTTTCTTTTATATATTTCACCTTTTTGATCTCTTAAGATTCAATTTAGATACTTCTGCATTTGATGGTGATAATGAATAGGTAATTTTCTGGTTCTAATAGGGTGTGATTCATTCTAAGCATGTAGAATGTGTTGCATTTGGTATAATTAGGTAAAATATGTTGCTTCATGGAACGTTTATTGAGAATAAATAAATACATTTCCATTAACGATGATAAAATATGTTTCTGAAAGATTTAATTGAATGAGAAGATTCTGTTTACCTCTACAGATTATGGGTTGCTGATAAAGATCGTAAGCCAGTAGCGGTATGGATTTGACGATGTTTGTTGCTTAATATTATAGATTTCATAGGAAGTCGTTCAGATACTGTCTGGCGCCTAAAATTGTTCCTCATAGAAAGACTGGACATCCTTCACATTAATTACCTTGATAATTTCCAAAAGATTTTCTCAGGAACAGGAAGTATTTTTGGCAGTACATTTACTTCATCTGCCAGTTCACCTTCAACGACTGCCGGTGGTGGATTTATGTTTGGTGCGAAACCGGTTGGTAGTTCTGGTAGTTTGTTTGGTTCCTTAACGACAACAGCATCATTAACACCAGTAACAACAGCAACAGTAGTAACAACGGCTGCTGCAAATACAACTGCATCAATCTTTTCCTCATCTCTTGGTAGAAGTTAATTCCTAATTACACGATTCATGAGTATGTGCAATCGTATTCAATCATTCTATCATTTTTCTATTATAAAATACACTTTTGAATGGAATTTTCTAAAAAACTTAGCGGAAAGTAGAAGTCCATTATTTATTTGTTATTTGTCTTTTTATATTATGCGCAGCCTTACCATTTGATAATAACATCATTAAATTGGAATAAATTTGGAATTGGCATCAATGGGTTGTATCAAAAAAAGATGATCCATGATTATGTTCCTATTTCATTACATTCGGTAACTAAGTAGTCTTAGTAATGTTTGATATTGAAACACTGGAACTATTTGGGCATCTAGTTCGATAGGATCCAACTTCACGCCCAACATGGAAAACAAACCATACTAATTGTACAGCTTTTTACTTTATCTGTTATGCATTCTATAAAGATTATTGTGGAAAAATCGGGAGAATATTCCAACTGATTTTGCTATATTTTTGAAATCATTTTAGGTCTTGGTGCAAAGCCGTCTTCATTGTTCGGTAATCTCACATCACCAATGTCAACCAATGCATCAGCCGCTACTACGAATGCACAGCCTAGCAATGGAGGTCTTTTATTTGGGACTACATCTGCAACAATTGGTGACTGGTTAACTTATCCTTTATTTCTATAGTCTTATGCATTTTTTAAGCCTGACGCTTAGAAACACATGTTATCACGATTTCCATTGCGGTTATTTATAATAGCGTATTTAATTTGCTTGTCACATATCTTGTCTTTCTGAATTTTTGAAAAATATAGTAAAGTTGGGAGAGGCATCCATGTTTTTCTTTATAGTCTGATTTTGACAGTCATTTTTAGTTACTATTTCCAACAAGATCATTGTCAAATGTAGGTCACTGCAAAGATTATTTTCAGCTTCAAATACTGGCTTTGGATTTGGGCCATCAATTACAGCGACAACTGTTGCAATAGCCAGTACAGCTCCATTTTGTTTTGGTACCTCGATTTCAAATAGCCAATCTTCTGGTTCTTTGTTTGGTATTTTTTTTTGATGCGCTGAAACTCTCTTATTTTTTTTGATTTTAAATATATTAAGGTCTTTTTTACCTAGAACGTAATACATCGGATACAATATTCAATTTTGGTTTTAAAATGATCTACTGAATACTTTGCACGCAAAAAAGAAAGATTTTCCGCTTCTTACATCAAACTTTGATAAAATAAAAATTTAATGTCTCAAGTTGGACAATGCTACTCGATTAACCTGGGATGCAAAATACATTATCATCAACTTTTGTCCTATAGTATTGTTTTTCGAAAACTGTTCTTGAATTTTTAAGAGAATTTTTCTTTGTCAGGACCCACAACGTTGCAACCACCTGCTGCTGCTGCTGTTTCATCTACTACAGCTGTTGATGTTTCGCCGAGTAGCCTATTTGGCCAGAAATCAGGTTCGGGCAGTTTGTTCGGTCAGGTTACTGCTGCATCGTCAAGCACTCTTCCAATAACTGGATTTCTGTTTGGTGCTTCTACCACAGGTTCTCTTTTTTCGTGATAAGATCATTTTATAATGCTTTTTAAGATATTTTTAGGGTGTTCCCGTGTGCCATTTATTATTCTGACTTTTTGAGTTTTATTTGCGATAAACATTTAGAGAATATAGTAAATACATGTTTCTAATAATATCATTATACTGAGTTTATATGAAGCAATATGAGGAAGTATATGAGTAACATCATGGCAAATTTTATGAATTTATAATGATCTGTACGAATCATGTCATCGAAGTACAATCTTTCTATTTGAAAATCGTACTAAATTTGTGAAAACATCGAAGATAGAATTGGAATAAATCGTTCTAGGATAATTAAGATAAACTTTGTATAGCCTAAATCATTCTAAGAGGTTATCTTAAAAAATTTTCATAGTAACTACTCAACCGGGCGATTAAATTTGCAGATTTAATAATTTGAAGAAAAGTGAAAATAAAGTTAGAAAAGGAGTAAATTTTGGTAAAGAATACTTTTTAAATGCAATTATTTTAGCAAAATCAACATCTGGCTTACCTGCGGCAATTAGCACTATTGCATCTACTGCTACTGCGCTGACTACTACTGCTGCCCCGGTGTTATCTTTTGGTTTTAACACGTCGACTGCTGTAAGCGGAAATACACCATCTTTATTTGGTTCTACTACATCTTCATTAACTGCAACAACTGCCGCACCTACTGCTGTGTTCGGGTCTCTTGCTTCCACGGCAGTTCCTCCATTTTCCGGGCTGTTCGGGACTAAAACTACATTAGGCACAACATCTGCGACAATTGCGACTTCGATATCTGGATTAAATAGTACGATTATACATGTTAAAAGTTAACATTTCGTGTCAGAGTTTTATTTTTTTCACTAATGAAGCATCTTCAGGGCACTTCAAGTATTGTCGTATTTTGCTTGATTTAGAGTTTAAATAATTTATTCATCCATTAATACTTCTTAGGCTAATGAAAAATTAAGCACGTTATCTAATGTCAAATATAACTCCAATTGTTTATGATGTTACTCTCACTTCTATCCAAAAAATACAGCGACAGGTCCCGCTTGATAGTCCACTGCAAGTCGCAACATACCATTTTCCATGAAAACGAAATATTTTCATTGTTACCTTTTTTTGTTGGATTTTCTTTCTATCGTTTGTACAAAATATACGGGATATTTGATATAGAATATTTGTTCAAGTTTCACTTGTATTGAATTTCCTCATCTTTTTTTGATTAAATTTGAATTTTTTCAGATTCTTCAGTTCCATCGTTGGCAACTACAACTAGTACCGCAATGCTCCCTTTTGGTACTACAAGTGAAAAATTTTTATCCTATTTTTTGGCATGAAATTTAATCAGAAAATTCTTTTCTAGTTTTAACAATTTATGTCGTACATTTATTTCGTTGATGCTGATCTTTTTGTGTTTTTTCTAAATTTTTGATCTCACGCTGAATAATTATTGACTTTGAATTCACTTTTGTTCTACCATTTATGGCTTTTTTTTCAAAGTGTTTAGTGTATCATTGTAAGATTCATTGTAAAAAGCTTTTGGTATTAAAACAGTTTCATTGAGGCCAAATTAAGCCACATGCGAATGTGTGACTAAGCTGACACAGTTGGTAGAAAATTAGGATTTAAAATGATTATGAGCAATCGATTCACGACTTATTTTTTCTACTTATGAAGATTTTTCCGCCTTGTTCTATGTCACAGTTATTCTCCAGATAAATATTTCGTGTTTAGCGCCCCCAAATCGATCAGCAGCAACGGCCACCTCCCTTGCTTCAGTTGCTACCGCTGCATTTCCCTTTGGTTCCTCAGGTAATGCTTAAGTTAGGATTGTATTACTTTAACGATTGTTTGTTCGTGCATGTTCAGAGGTCTGTAATATTTCAGTTTTCAGTTCTATCACCAGCATCGAACGCAGTGCCGTCAAAACAACCAGTAGTGAGGTGATTTTATAAGCATATTTTAGTCTGTTTCACTTTCTGCTCTTCTGTATCTAGAACAACTCCGTAGTATAATCTTTATCATTAGAAGTACGCTTTTGTGGGAGTAACGATTAAAGTCCATAAGCCGTAAATTAATAAAAATTTGTGTAGTTTACGAAGTAACTGAAAATTTCTACACTACTTTTCATTCGTTCTCTTCAATGGTATAGTTGACACTTCTGATTTCACTTTAATCATAAACTTTTCAGTAGTATAATAATTTTTATGAGTTTTTTTCTGAGTGAAGTCGTTGAGTTTGATTTTAAAATTAAAAGTTAATTTGGATTTGTGACACAAAGGCAGTTATCGGTATCTGTGACATCAGACTGTTTTTTTCAACATTAGTAATGTATTGCCACATGTCGTTGCTGTTGACAGCGATCCTCGCTAGGAAATTTCCATTTTCAAACTACTTTTATGTAATCTGCAATCTATCATTTGCTTGCAGCATGACTTCAACCGCTCCGACAATGTCACTATTTGGAGTTACACCGCAGGCTGCAGGTCCTGTTACCACTGCAGCAGCTAATGGGTTTACCTTGTAAGTATTTTACCATTTGTTTTTGTATTATAAATAGATATGGACTCAATTTATTAATGGTTTCAAACAGCTTAATTTATGCGCTTATTTATTTTTTTTCTGCTTGCAAGATTCTTTGCCAAGATAAAATGTTATATAAACATTTAAGCTTTCCTGTTTTTATATTTAAAATAAATTAGATTTTTCCTAATTTCATTAAGCAAACCATCCATGGCAATGATCACTTGTTGTAGTGGACAATTAGCAGCAACAACAGCGACAGCAGTAGTAACACCGGCGACAAATACTATTTCCTTACCAATTATGACGTCTTTTTCACAGTCCGCCACAACTACTCCCGGTATGTTTACGACAAGTGCGGTGACTTCAGCCGGTTCAGCATTATCTTCAATACTACATCCATCGAAAACAACTGCAGCTACTTTACCAGCAACTACTTCTACCGTAACAGTTACAACTGTTGCTTCAGCAATACCTTCAAGTGCTTTAGCGGGTGCTGTTCCTGCTGCTGCTGCAATTACGTTAGTTATATTTTTTCTAAGTAGAGTTTCAATTTCTGGAAGAGAAAGATATATAAATATGAGATAGCTGGAAGAGTGGAGGAAAGTAGTCGATCTTAGATAAATTTTCGTACACTATACTTTTAAAAACTGTGGGTTTTTCTCACTAACTGGAAGTATTTTGCGTTGGACATTCGATCTTTTCATTTTAATTTCAATGGAACTGTTTTTGTTGTGCTCTTTTGCCATGAATATACAAGTCCCAGTTATTTATACTATATATTTATATATACTATATATATTTATACTATATATTTATTTATACTATACTATATATCGTTAATTGATTTGCCACAGATCTGATAAACCAATCACATTTGCGCAACTGGAACAGCTTGTAAACCGTTTAACACTTGATGTCGAAGCACAACAGCGCGTTTTCATGTCCCAAGTACTGGAATTGAATGCATTTGATCGTGTTTTGCGTGAAAATCAGCAAAAGGTGTGGATTTTGGGTTTCGTCTATTTTACCCTTCTGTTCTATAAAATTGCAATCCATTTTTCTGTTTGCTTTTTGCTTGATTTTCCTTTCATGTCATTTATTAATTGTTCGCCATAAATGATGGATATTTCTAATTGCAAATAATCCTGCTACTTGTTGTTTGTGAACTTAAAGCTTGACAATATTCAATGTGTTTACGGGATATGCTAAGTTTTTCATTTCTTTTTTGGATTTCGTTATCTTACCACAAACTTGATTTCATAAATGCAGGTTCTTGATATAAGCGAAGAGATTAAACAATTGGAAGAAGAGAAAGATCGGTTTTTGCACACCGTCGATTTCATTTCTCAACAGCAAACTGAACTTGAAGTTTTAGTTGTTGAGCTAGAAAAGGCTTTAGGTCTTAGTGATTGGACGGAAATGGCACCAATAGGACTGCCAGATCCAGGTGTAGCCACTCATGCTGACTTGCAGCGACAAGCTATGTGAGTTTGTTTTTGTTATGTTAATAACGACTTAATGCTCATTTTTGCGACTTGCTATTTTGTAATTATCTTAATTCTTCGCCTCTAGCAGTACCATTTTATTTCTCTTATTGAAAATCTTTATTAGTTTTATACATTGACATTTGTGCGTTTTTCATTGTCTTTTTTATGTTAACATAAATTATAATGTGCGCTCACTTGTATGATATTTAGATGGAGTGCTTATTATCTTTGAAATTGCTAATAATATACTTTATTTAGGCTGCAGTTACAGCTACAGATTGATGCGCAGATAAAACAAGCAGATGATGACATCAATGACATTATCGAACAGGTATAGTTACACAATTTTTATGAATTAAAGATTTCTTTATTGTATGCAGAAATCCTAGTATTTAATGAATAAATTTAAATTTTCAGGTTAAGGAACTACAAAGAACTAATGTTGGTGTCGATGACCAAGCTGAAACGGCAGACCAAATTGCGCAAATCCTTAGGCGTCAACTGGATGCTTTGCAATGGATTGATGAACAAAGCTGTTAGTATTTCCATTTTTCCATACGGATCTTTGTTTGTTATGATGGGACTTGACTACTATTTGATGGAGAATAATATATTTTGGATTATAAAATTATATTTCAATTCCAACAAGTAATTTCTCTGATCAGTCGAACTTCTCCATCTAAAAAGTTTGTCAAGTCATCTATGGCACATATTTCAAAAATTTTCTGCTAAAGTTATTTGCATTACAGGTGACTTAAAAAATAAAGTAACAAAATTATCAGAAGGATTATCGACAAGATGAATGGAAGAAAATTTCGGCTGCCTTATGTGGATTTTTTTGTGTTCTTGTATTTCGTATCAGTTTTAAAAAAACAGATACAGTTCTTTATCTATAGATATGTTTGAATTGTTTTCGATGCTCTGTTTTCCATTTCCTTTTAAAAATGTAAAAGGAGCGAAGTCCTTATTGCTTACATTTTAGAAGGAACAGAAGAACGTAATGAGCTATCTTCTTAATTTATTCAGTTGCTTAACTCGAGTGATCTCTCGATTTTTGTTTTAGTGCAGCTTATATTTCATTCATGAATATTCCATCTTTTTGTTTTCATGCCCACATTGTATCATTTTTATTATCGCATAATCAGCTTTTCAGAATGGAAGATAGCCTAATTAAAATGCCCAACTATGCAGCAGAAATCAGTGTGATGAAGCCTTCTAACCTGTTCATTTTGAAGTGTCTTCCAGAAATTTTCGTTCTTATGCTTTGATGTGAATTTTGTTTCTCTCACTGATTTTTATTTGGTATTCCCATGAAAGATGAAGTTATGCATTGATCCATAACAAGTAATGTTAGCATGCAACCATTTTTGTATCAGTTGTTGGTAAGTTTCATCCAATAAAAGTTTATAGAAGATATGCTTGGTTTAAAAGAATTATCTTTAGTGCCGACTTTATGATGGAAGAGAAAGGAATGAAATCGCGAAAGTTTTTTGAGTATTATATTGCAAAATGCTTAATTTTTTTCAGTTAAAGGGAATTTTTATTTGCTCGCCTTTATCATATTATCATAACTCCCCCGTCATAACGTTGAAAATTCAATTTCCTTTCTTTTGTCATGGATAAGCAAATCCTGGTTGTTGGATTATCATGCATTTACAGTAAATTCATCATAAGCTATCCAGTTGAAGGTAGAGATTCCCGGATATTAAAACAGATAAATAATTTAACGTGAGAAATCACTTCTTTGTCGTAATTTGAGATTGTAGCTACGGTAGCACTACAGCAACTATTCATCTTGGCAAACTAACGTAATATTCCTCTGAATACTATAAACAATTTGAATACAAACAAATAATTTTAGTAAAACCAACGTCTTTTTTGCTATCCCATGTTACTGAAGGGAATTCTCCTGCAAATTTTGCTTTATCCTGTGAATTTCCTACTTGTCAATCTGACATTCTTTCCTAAAAATACCATGCAATACATGTCTATGTTTCAGGCCTCTTTTAATTCTTTTTTTATCATAGCTCTTTGATTCCTGCTGGAACCTGTTCGCATGCTATTATAAACAGTCCAGGTATTACGAAATTGATGTACATATATACGCTTATATATAATCAAAATTTCATTCATATATCATTTTTCAATATGAATTTTACATTCAGTGGGTTTAAAATTACTCGAAATGATATCCCGGTCTTGCTTTACGACATAATACCAATTGTTCTTTCACCTTCGGACCAACTATGATATTATCTTTGCCCGAAAATGCCGCACTTGCTTTTTCATTACGAATATCAACCTATAATTAACTGATAAATTGAAATGATGATTTATAAGTTACCACATTAGATATATTTTGCATATATAAAGTAATAGATGAAGATGAAGTATGTTTATCACTTCTGCCTGTTATCTCCGGATGTTGGTTCAAAACAGATATTAAGGTATTAGCAAAATTGGACTGATCTAATTATTATTTGAAAAAAAAGTTTATGTGATTAACATTCGCGCTCATTAAGGTCAAATTTAGACAGTAACTAGATGACTTAATCTGTGTGATTCATTTTCTTCCGTGATTCATTTAATTGCTTTAAATTATCAGTATTACATCCATCTCTTCTCCTATCATTCTACTTTTTGCTGTTGCTAGGACCCATTTCATTTTATTGTTTATGAACAAATATATTTCTGTTGAAGACATTTTTAAAATTCAAATTGATGGATATCACATTAAACCTCCTTTTTTCCGACTGAAAATTTTTCTTATCTTGTCCTTAAAAATATGGATTGGGCCATATTCTGATCCCGATCAATTCCTTTCACAAAATTCGATAAGTTTGTCATCATCTCTGGTTCAACCGATGCTATAACGTTCGTAATTCGGTAAATTTCAAATTTTACCTTTCCAAGGATTTGTTTTCCTTCCCACGTGATGACACATGGTGAAATGATCCCCTTATAATCGACATAAACCGGAAGCCATTCTTTTTCACCGAATGTACCACATACTGAGAATGGTTGCCAAGAGTAATCGTAACCACGTACATGATGTCCAAGTTCGATTAGCACTTGCAACGAACCAATCTTATCACGATACTCACGTCCATTCCAACCAAATGTTGCTGCAACCTGTAGTATAATTTTTTTTAAATCTATTTTCAACTATGAAATGCGAAAAAACATTTAGGTTAAAATTCCAATTCGCTATTTTAAAAAGCAAAATAAAGTAATTAAATGGTGTAAGGATAACACATTCAAAATTGAATCTTCTAATAAAAAATATATATTTATATTATAGAAATTGGCTGGATAGCCGATTGAGACTACCGAGATCTCATGTGTATTGGATTATACTGACATATTTTTTCTCTTACTTTCTGCTTTTTCGTTTATTGTACTACATTGTTTGTTATCTTAAAACTACATGCTAATGTAATCTAAAATAAGCGTAATTCCAATTTCATTGTAATCTGGTAGATCTTAGCACATATCATTGCTATCTGGTAGATCTTAGCATACATCATTGCTATCTGGTAGATCTTAGCATATATCATTGCTATTTGGTAGATCTTAGTATATTCTTAATGATATTTTCATCGTATCAAACTTCTCTTGTAAAAATGAAATACACCTTTCCATTGCCATCTTTCCATATTCTACCCATAATTGGTTCACCTTGTTGGTACCACAACGCTACATACTGATTTGGATCTTCTTTTGGTATCGTATCCAACGTTTTTCCAAGTGCCTGTACCAATTTACGTTCTGGCCATGGATCACCCATACGTATATCCATCCATTCATCACGCATAATTCTTGGCGGCGGTGGTCCAGGTGGTGGTGGCGGTGGTGGCTCATCTGGTTTTGGTGGAGGTACATAGCATTTCTTACATTCACAACCAGGTGGTCCACCTTTGATGTTACGTACAATAATATACATATCATCAAGTACACTTCCTTGTAACATTTCTGCCTTACCATCGTGCGAGAAATGCGCCTATCAATTAGAAATTTTGATATACTTTATTTCTAAAATCAAAAAAAGATCGGCCTCAAGTAGTAATAACTTGTAAGCATTAAAATATGTAAGATTCACATGTCCCCAATTAATCATTTCAAACTTGGAAATAATTTATTCCCTCTACTTCCGTGACATTTTGATGCAATCTAAGAGGTTATCCACGTTCATCTGAGATACCTATATCGCGGTTCACCTGAGGTACTATTAATAAGATGCAAAATTAGGACAAACTACGGGAACAATGTAACTTGTCATATATCGTTTGATGATAGTGACGGAAAAATGTTATTTTGAAAATTTCGGAGTGATGCATTTCTTGCAAAACGATGGAATATTTTGCAATGCAAATTTCCGATTTTCAGTAAAGAAAGAAGCGTTTAATTCGATCTTTTCATCTTTCTGAATTAACTAACCATTTCGGTTGCATCTAAATAACCCATAAGTGGACCATCTTTACGACTTTTCCAGAAAATTGGCAACGAATCGCCACATTTCAATTTTTGTCGCTCCTCGGTTTTCTCGAAACGATCTTTATACTTAATCCATTCATACCAGAAACCAAGAGAATTGTGATCACCTTTGTATTGCAATATCTAAATTTTCTATATGTCGTCAATATCATCAAGTCTTGACTGAATGTGTGATATAACAACGCTTGAAATGTTAGCAGATCAACTGGGAAGATCGTTGTGGGATCATTAAAATGTTCTTTACTAATAATAAGATGCAAAATTCATGAATGGGACATCTGATCAAATTTGCTCTCAGAGTTCTAAGTGTAAAATCAAAAGTGAGAGTTTGAAAATATGATGAGTTTAAGGAATGATTCTTATGAGGAATATTCATTCTTGAAATCTTTATAATATCATGAAATCATTGTAATCATCTGAAGCAATCAGCTAAAAAGTGTTAAACCTTAAGAACTGATAAAAAATTCAAATAGCAATTTCAATATATTATCGATTCGCTATTAAGAGCATTATTATTTTGCAGCAATTTCAATTTCGGAAGCAAACTTGAATTTGGCCTCCTAAATCTTTAGCTCCAGTTAGTTCAGCTTTCTTATATGGGAATGAGCATTCCAGAACTCCTCCGTTATTCCATGCGCGACCATGAATAGGTTTTCCGTGCTTGTACCACAAAGCAACATACTGATTGGGCTGATCTAATGCATGAAATGGATTATCTGGAAACGGTGATCCAATCGGGCCAAATGCCCAAGTATCCTCTTGTGCCGGTGGATTGCCCATTTCCCACTAAAATTTCCCGTGATCAATCAATCAGTTAGTTGTTGCTTGCACGTCAGACCAAATCTGAGTGATGAAAAGATACAATGAATAATTATTTCAAACCTATATAGACTTATATAATCTGGGATTTTATGAAGCGAAAATGCAAATTTGTCGCAATTTGTAATTTCACCAGAAACCATTCGTAATCGAATCTTCTGAAATGGATGTACAACTCAGTACTATCTTCGTATTTTCCAACCGCTAATCAAACTATCAATAATAGTTCGATAATAACCCAACTAAAAATCGTTTACATTACCAACAGATTTTATCGTAAATCTGATGGATATAGTAATAACATATATGATAATGATGTTAAAATAATGATTATTAGTAAAAGTAATGAATATTGTAATTGTTTGTCAGTGGATTATCTGGATAGTAAAATTCTTAAATTTTGATTTGATATATTTGGTTATTGCAACCTCTAGTTCTGTATAGATAACATTAGTGATAACCTGATATGAGCTATATGTATTGATAATTTTTCTCTCCTCTTCTTCCACATCTCTTTTTCTTATCATATTATTCAGCTGATTTTCTCTGTATGTTATTGTTTATCAAAAAAACCATTTCAATACCTAACCTTTTATTGGAATTTAATCATTACTATGCAAAAATTTCATTCCGAATTATGCATGGAATAATTAATTCACTCTTTCATCGAAATCATACTTACTCCTTTACTTGTTGTGTTATTTAATTTATGTATAAATCACATTATTGCTGTAATTATAAAATTGGGAAAAAAAAAACGACTAATGATTAATTATAAGAGATAGATGGTGGTGGTAATTGCACTTCACAAAATCTACATTTCATCAATTATTTAAATATATTCAACAATTATTATCAACTTAATCTTTTTCTATCTCATTTGGTGAATAAAAATTTGAGGGATGGAAGAATGATAGAGTGGAAATGATCAGTTGATCGAAAGAGAGAGAATTGATTGGAAAACGATTTATTTGACCTAAAAAAATTCAAGAATGTGATTGTTATGCAATTCTTCCCGTAACTACCACAATTTGCCATATATTACGAACAAATTGAAATTTTTTTTCTTGTTTTGCATTGTAGAATATATTGTGTGATACGTATTTATTTCATTATAATTTCAACATTTTCTTATAAATTCCTTTAAGAGTTTTTTTGAAAATATAAAATTGAAATGAAATAATTTTAATCGAAATTTAATTGTGCCATTTCATTTAGCCATTCAAAGTTTTGTTTTCATATTTCACTTCAAAATGAATTATTGTTGCAAAATTCGCTTTCTTTTGCAAACTGATTTTAAGGAACTGTTTAGCGATGAAAGTTAATATTTGTTTTGTAAAAGACAGCAATAAAAGTGAATTCAGAAGATTTATTATATTCTTTTCGTTTCAGAAAATCAATCATTCTAAATTTGGTCTTAATTGAAAGTAATGAAACGCTTTTTTAAAATAGCAAAATTTTGAAAACTGTACAACTTTATTCGTTAATATTATTATTATAAAAATACTTGCAGATTCATAGATATTTCCTTCAAAAAGTTTTTCTTCATCTATTAATTTTCATTCTTTTGCCAAATGGATTAAAATTATAGGAAATTTGAACTTTCGATAGCTTTTAATTAGTTTTCTTGTAATTAGTTTAAAATAACAGAGAATTTGAGTCTTCTATGAAGTTTGTGTATTTTCATTATATTTCATTGAAATGCATAACTTATCGAATTCCCTGATCTTTTCCATTGCAAATTAGATTTTATTGATAAATTATCGCCAAAGCACATTTTTTTCCTTCTGAGATACTTTCAGTGAATTTTCCTGCGACACTTTAATGAATTTGCAAGGAAAAGTTGTTAGTGATAAATGATATTTATTTATGATACTTCTAATTATAATAACAAAATGAAGTTATTAATGATTTATATTCTAATTTATTACTCATCAATATTTTTTACTTTTTTCTTTGCTGCCACATTTTTATATGATTAATTTATAGATATATATATTATTCCTTTTGAATTTTGAATTGTTACATTTATTCTGTAAATGTATTTTCATTATTTTTAATTATTATATTTTAATATTTCAACAAAATTGTTTTATCATTTTGATATTTTTATGTATGATACTTCAAATTTTTATTATATTTTCAAATAACTAAATTATTATTATATTTCATTCTTTTATAGTTTTCATTTCATTCTTTTTTAATAGTTTTTCTTAATTAATAAATAAGTATATTTTTGATTGCAATAAAATTTATTCGATAATCTTTCTGATAATATTTCAATTCATATTTTTCCCAAAAATATGTCATTTAAATTCGTTATACGATTAGCTTATAATATCTTTCCATTTATGTATAAACAATGTTTTGATTTATCTTTTAAATTATTCAACTAAAACAAATTTTAACCTAATAATGCTTTTTGCTTCACTCTTTCATTCCAATTAATTTATGACAATAATTTTTTGATGACAATACTTTCTTTCATTTCGATCAAATACAATTACTTCATCATTATGCATAATTCTAAATCATATTTCAATTGCTTTTCGATAATAAAAAAAAAGAATTTAAGTTCAAAGGACAAAAGATCAAAAGGTATTTTGGAAAGACAAATAATAATATTTGCTAAATTATATTTTAATACTATCCATAAAACCGGTTATTAAATGCTAGAAGTAATACTGTCACATTGCCTATTCTTATTTTTTCATTTTAATTTCGTATTTTAATTTCCATACTAATTCAGCACCAATTTAAATTCTTATTATATCGCTTTTTTTTTCTTCACTCTTTTCGCATTAAATTCGTCGTTATTAACACCAATCAGAAGATTTTAATTTTTGTATTAATCCAAATTTTGAGCGAGAAATTTCACAGTTTCAATGAATTCCGCAATTTTCCAACGACAAAAAAAATGAAAACCAATTTACATTTTATTCCATTTTTTCCTGTTTATTTTTCATTTGTCTACACCGATTCATTTCATCACCATAATATATCACATCCATTGTTTTCAAAACAAAGTTAGTAATTCCTTTCATTCTTTTTATTTCATAAATATCAGAACCATTTTTTGTGATAACGATGCTATATGTTATAGCAACCGATGGTGTAATATTCTCGCCAACAAAAATTTCCTTTTTTCTCGATGATATTTTCAACTCTCTTTACTTTTTTCTTATCCATCAAAAAATCGGTTTTTACTCATAATCCAATCAACCGGTTCCGTTTAATAATACCGCTGGGAACTATGCTATCAGGTAAAATAAACAAAATTAATGTTACATTGTCCTAAATACCGTATTCGAATTATTTGCTTTCAAATAACATTTCATATGATTAAATTCTCTATAAAGAAATTGAAAGTTAAGGCTGGAAATATGAATTTAATCAAATTTCAAATAATTTTTCAAATAACTTTTTAATTCCTCAAATTTCAATTGAATAATATATTTTAAAAAATTAGATCAAAATTAATTCATCATTAAATTCAAAAGGAAACTTTTTACCAATTTCTATTTATTGTACCTAAATTATAAACTTTTTAAATTAAATTAGGCTTACTCTCTAACTTTGCCTAAGTTCGATTAAAATTAATTTTACTAGCTTCTTTGATACACTAACCTACTTTTTCATTACCTTCCCTAAATGCAAATTAACTTGACAATAGCAAAATTTCTTATAATTTACAGATGATAAATCTTGTTAAATATTACTAATTTATACAAAAGTATTCGATCAGTCTATCTGCCTATTTATCTATCTATCGATCAATCTATCTGCCTGTTTGTCTATCTATCGATCAGTCTATCTATTTGTCTATCTATCAATCAGTCGATCTGTCTAATCATTCTAAAACAAGTGAAATGCTTGAGAATAGATTATGAAAAGAATGGTGAAATCAAGTCATTCAATGATTAAATTAAATGTGATAAATTTATTTCAGTCGTTTTTTTGCACAATAATTGCATGCGACGCCTTTGTTTATTAGTTAATTGTTATCACTAAGACAATGTAACATCAACTTCATAATCATATTGTTCTATCATTTAAGCAACTAATACATTAATGCTTCTTTTCAATCATCAATTATTTCTAGGATTATTTATTTTATTTGGCTTTAATATTTATTTAAATTTAGAAGCTTAATATAAAATTATTGGTTTCATTTTACAAAATTGACTGATACGATTTAATAGAATTATTGCAATAATCTTTACCAAAAAATGAAATATGCAATTATATTATCACTTTTGATCAGGAAGTAAATTTATTATGAAATTAAAAAGTTAGCAAACAAAATATGATGCATTTCTGGAAAGTAATTGCTGTCAACAATAATTGAAACACTGAAACTATTATAAACTAAAGTTCTTTTTATATACACCAAATATTGTCATTTGTTCTTAAATGGTACAAAATAATACTTGTATTTGACTGGTCTTTACTCAGGTTTTTCTTTTGAAATCAATTGAATTTTATTGATTCTATCGAAATCATCACTTATTGTTTCAATCATATTAATAATAATAATAATAATAATAATGACAATAATAATAATAATAGAAAGAAATTTTCCAAATTTAACTTTTTATGTGTAAAAATTTTTGTGTAAACAAAACGAAAGTTTTCCGTTCATCAAATAATAGAATAGAAAAAGAAATAAGTGAAATGGATGACAATTATTTCTGAATTGATAGAATATAATAATAATAATATAGATATAATGAAATTAGGATATCAGGTTTTCAACAAAATCTAATCATTCCATCTTGCAATTTGCATTATTAAACAATAGAAGCGATTTAAGAAATTGGTTACAACAAGGAAATGCTCTCGATCTTGTAAACACTTTCAATTTCACTTTCATGCTGTTCATCTTCTGCGGTCATTAAACAACACTTCTGTAGTACGGTACATTTTTCATTCCCGATAATTTAATTTAATCTTTTCAATTTCTAAGACAAATATCTTTTTAATTTTTTTTTTTAAATTCTTAATTTCTGAAACGCAAAAACAAATATCGTCGATTTCTATTAATTTCTTTCAAACCTTTGTTTACTTATCTGTCTATTTCATACAAAAAATTATAAATAACAAAGCTTTTATTCACTATTAAAACTTAATTTTAATGCATTTTGCTTTTGTATTAATTATTAAAATTGGATTTAAAACCATTTTGCTTTTATATAATTTATGCGATTTTGTTTGTAAAAAAGCAAACATCGGAAATAACTATAATTGCATGATAGTGATATTTTCATAATATAATAACTTATCAGAATTGTATCCATAATGCATAACTTATTATAATTGTATTCATAATGTATAACAAGTTAGTTGATAATTTTAGAATGATTATGACAACTCCTCTTCTCAAATATTATTTCCATGATAAAGGTATAATAATGAAAATGAAGAAATTAGAATGATAATATTATGATTAGAAGGAAATATTATGATTATAATTAGAAGAAAATAAAAAAAGCATAGTACAATCAACAATTTTAAGTAAAGATATTTATGAATGGGATGGGTTAATCGGTAAATGATAATATAAATGATAATAACGAATTATTGAAACTAATTCTGCACTTCCAAAAAGGATGGCCTCATTAATTGGTTGATTGAAAAGGATATAATCCCTAAATATCTCCTAACAATCTGACCATTCTCAATCACCTTTTGCAATCATTAAAAGGTATTGTAAAAATTGCTCTTTTCTCATCTTTCTTCATCGTTATTTCAATATTGATTGTATGATTTCTTTATTCCAAATACAATCAATCATTGCTCTTTCTTATCAATGATAATATTATTTCAAGAATATATGAGTTGTAGATATGATTGAAAACAATAACTATAGCTAAATTTAGGAATGTAATAATTTGAACTTAAATTATTCATAAATTGATCACTTGACCCTGAGATATCTAAAAATGGAAAAATATAAGATGAATGAAATGTCTATTTTATTTCATTTATTCATATTTGTCTGTAAAATTGAATATAACAAATTACAAAATATTAATTTTCATTTTTTAAAATTATTTTTCTTTCACAATTTCAGTTTTACAATTTCAATATTTTTTCTTTCTTTGTTTTCTTCTTCCTTCCACACATTCCACACTGTCATTTTCCAAAAATTTTCCTTCCATTTTATCAATTCTTTTACTGCCAATAATGCCAGCCAGTTCAAATAAATGAAAAAGAATGAGAATGAAAAATTATTGAAAATATGCTGGTATAACTTATTTTTACCTCTTCATTTAATTTTATGAAAAAGAAATGTAAAACCTTAAAACTAAACTTATCATATCATCTTCTAGCATTAATTACCGAATGTTTTCCACCTCGACAAATTACTTAAATTCAAAAAGGTGAAATGTTGCAAAGCTGAAAACGAAACAACAAAAAAAGATAAAATTATTTCCTATCAGAATTTGTTATCACTGAATATGCATTGGTATTATTTTTATCATATTTTATTACTTTCAATCATCTTATACTCTCACAATATTTCATGTAAGTTTTCTATTTTATTTTTTATTAGAAATAATGAAATTCTCCTTAGAATGTGCAATGTTTATCATATCATAAATTGTGATAAATTCTCATTACAAGCGCTTTTGATATTAGGATAATTTTCATTTGTTTCTTATTTATTGAAGAGATTAATCATTATTTTATATAATTTAATTGATGCAATGATAGTATAGTGATAACGATTTAATTCGAATAATAATCAAAACAATTTGGACAGAATGATAATGACCATCATGTAGTACAATGATTTATTTTGTATAATGATAACAGTGAATTTTACAGGTAAAACAACAAATTGTGTGTTATCATATTATGCAGACGAAATAAGTTACGACGATGCATCGTCGCTGAATTTTTATTATACGAGGTAATATTTGACAGATTCATATCCAATAGATAATTAATTACTAAAAAATATATTTTAGCAGTATACTTCTAAGCTTAATAAGTTAAAGTAACATAAAAAGAATTTTTGGCTTAACAAAATAAAATAATATAAAATGGGATTCATCGCATTGAGAAAAATAAAAATTATGCCAGCCTTTTCTGAACAGTAATAGTAATATATCACATTCTATCAATATTAAAGATGTCATAGTATTTTTTAATTGTAATTTAATAATTACTATTGGATAAAATAAATTTTAATATTTAATTCTTTAATATAAATTTTAAAAGGCATTCATAATTAAACACAATTGGATATTTCAGTGTAAAATGTTTATTTTCATTGGCATAAATTAATAATAGTTACTATTAATCATAAACGTCTCAAAAAATAATTCGAAATTGTTGAAATTACTTTGAAGTGAAAGAAATAATTTATTTAAATAAACAAATTCGTTAACAAAATCTTTTAAAAAAAAAATATTATCTCTAAGATTTGTTGAAAATATAAAAATTGTTTTGTTTCTAACAATGATAAGTTATTGTTTCATTTCAGGCTAAAATTTAACTATATAGGAATTGAAAATAATTGAATTAAATGTGTCGTATTTCAATGTCCAACACATTTAATTCAATAAGCACATTTAATTCAATTACTCAGTTATATGCATATATATATATAATTTTTTGTCTTTTCTTGTTTTACAAGAAATTAAAACAAAAGACGATTAATAACGAATTCTTTTGTAGTTAAAAAATTATTTAATATGTTCTATTTTTAAAAAAATCAGATGTGAACAATTCCGCTCGAAGATTTTATCAATTGTTATTAAAAATAAATCAACACTTTCAGTGTTCACATAAAATCGGTGGATGAATGTGCGGATTTTTGCTTTCATCGGCAATTTTGTCGTACCGCTATATATAACTATTTTGCAAATACCTGTTCAATAAGTTACAATTGGATGATAAATTGTCGGTGAGTAATTATTGATAAGAATTGTTGAAAATCATTTTCCATTTCCAATTTCATTTTAGTTATCTGTCAATATCATTATATTAAATGGATGATTTAAAAATTTCATACAACCTTTAAATTTCTTCATAAATTATAAACGAAATAATTGTTCATACAAAATCATTTTTAAGTTATTTAATTTAAAAAAAAATTCATCAAATAGGTTGATCCATAGGTAATTTTTGCTGAGCAACAATTTCCCATATCATTAACAATTGAAAAATTCCATCTCTTCTTAGAAACCTATACCTGAATCAACGTGAAACTGAACAATCACTTTCTTGATCAATGATGACTTTGCTTTTTTCGAATTTTTCTTATTAATTTTGTTTTCTTAGCACTTATTCAAAACGATATTCGCAATATCAGTCACCCGCTCAGCAGCTGGTTCGTATTGTTTGCATCGATAGTTGCAAAATTAGCGCCACTGAAACTCGTATGCTATTTTTTAATTTCAATGCTTCTTCAATGAGATTTCTCGGATCATTCGGCTTCTCAAAAAACCGAATTATTTTTGTCATATTTAAATGGCACGCATATACAAGAGATTTTAGAGGAAAAACTCTCTCCTTAAATATTATAATTTACTATATAAAAAATTTACGAGAAAATTTTATTTCCTTTTCTTTCTTCCTGAAAAATTCATGTCTTTTAATCCAGTCAAAAGACATAACGTTATGGTATTTGGATACTCCGAATTATATGAAAATTTTGCAATGTATTTATTTTAATTCAGTTTACTGCTAATTATATTATTAATGGAATTAATAAAATTAAGAATTAAGATGAAATAATTATTTTAACAAAATTTCATCCAATCGCCTTTATTCCTTTTCCTTTTTTTCCATTCCTCATAGTCTTAATTCATACTTCAGGAAAAGTTCACAAAGTTTTATAAACAAAATAAATTACGAAAACTTTGTTGTGCCTTTAAATCCTGAAAAAAGTATTTTAATGTTTCACTCATAAACTTTTTTTTAAAATAAAAGCATTTTCAGTTTCCTTTTTATTATTCCACAATATTGCCTATTAATATTAACTCAATGATCAGTCAAAATTTGAAAAGATGATTTTGACATTTCATAATTTGATATGATTTTCCAAACTACCGATTACCATTTATGGACTAACCAAAACTTTCACATCTTCCGGATCACTGCTCTTTAATGATATTGCTTAATGCACAGAAAGTATCATGATTAATCAGTTAATTGTACTATGCAAATTTTATAGCTAAAATAATTTTCTTTCCTTTTTAAGCGCGTTTTATGTGTCATAGTTTTTATTTAAATAATTAAGAAATTATATTTCTCCTTAGCTAAAATGATTCAATTTTTATATTTCAATCATTTCATTTTAAAATATTTCTTCTTCTTTTTGATTTTTTTGAGTAATAAATTTTTGATTTATTAAAATGTCTGCAAAAATTCAAAAATTTATTCTCAATAAAAACTTTATTTTATCAAAGCAATAATTTTATGATTTTATTTTTCTAGCGGCTGGGAATGATTTACGTCAAATGAAGGATATACTAATGAGATCGGGCATTGAGATTACTCATAGCGCAGGTGGGCATTTAAATTTCCTATACTGTAAAAGATAATTGCTTAATTATTGTTTTGCTTTCTTTTCATTAACTTATATTTTAATTCGTATAAGATTCATTCATTTTTTCTTTTCCTATAAAATTTTTATTCAATTCAATTCTTTCCTTTCCTCAAACTTTCAATATAATTGGATTTCATATTCTCGAATAATCGATTTTTCCAGGAAAAAACTTTCTAGTTTGAAACAAAAGCGAAATAATTTAAATTTAAAAAATTATATAATTAAAAACAAAGCCATTTTTATGTAAAAATAACTACCAAAACAAGTCTTATTGACAATATTTCGAAAATTTTTTGAAAAAATTTAAAATTTCAACACTGTTGCATCATTTTTCTGTCTTTTGTATTAGTATTGTTGAGGGAAAATGAAAAGAATTTATTCTAATTTCCTCTAATTGTTTATAATTAATTGGAAATGGATAATAGGATGAGATGTGTAATTAGCACGAGCTGTCTTATTATTTAGTGATTGCACCAATTGATTTCTTTTTTTGACTTTAATTTTATTTAGAAATTAAATAGCGCAATGAAACATTTGCAATAATAAATAATAAATTAAATTTTGTAAAAATTTTTGATAAAAAATTTTAATTTTAATTTTCAGCAATATCCGGTGAATATAAAAAAGGAAACATAACGACTCCACAAACTAGTAATAGTAATAAGTTTACCACACTTGAAACAACAACAACTGTTTATAATGCGTTAAGAACAGTAACAACAACAGCAACAGTAACAACAACAACTGCTATTTCTGATCCTACCATACCAATAAATACTACAAATGCTGAAACAATTACAAACATTGAAGGAAATAATTATTTTAACGATACTGTGACTGTTACTACTGCAATAACTACCACTGATACTATTCTAATTAGGGATGGCCAATTACAGCACAGAAAAATTTTGCAACCATTTGAGGATGAAACATCCTTATGGTGGATTCACCTTCAAAAATTACTTGAAAAAGACAAACATACTTATCATAGCATAACTGAAACATTTGACAACAGCAGTAAGATAAGTAATCTTCCAACCTTTATCAGTGATGTTAACAGCGGAAACAAATTATTGGAAAAGATAGTGCATGAATTACGAGAAAATCCTAGTAAATATAAAGTATCGGTGGAGCATACTGATGATCGACAAAGTTGGATAGTTATTCGTATTGGTAATTATCGTAAGCTCGAAAATTTACATGAAGCAAAATTTATGGATATTCCGGCAATGGTGCATCAATTTCCAGTGAAGCATGATTCACCGGAAGAGTTGAAAGCAAATTATCATATAATTCGTATCAAATTGCCCTATGAATTTCTAAACAATGCTACATCCGATAAAGGAGAAATTCAACAAAAACAACCGTATACAAGTTCACAAAATATTTCCGGTATTGATGAGCAACGATTGAAGAATCAAGAAGAGGAATTGATTTTCGAAAAGCTTCCGGGAAAATATATTGAAAATCAACATGGCTACCTGTATCGTGTTCAAATTCATGACATTAACCGAGAGTTACCGTTTACCCGCAAAATAACAGCCGATCATGAAATGCGAGAAAGAGAAATTGAAAGCAGCAAGACAACAAGAATCGAAAATAAGGATGATCACACTACCGGAAGTGAATATTTCGATTATCACACTAATCATAAAGATTTGTTTCCTGTCCATTTTTCACTCTTTCAATCATTTTCGGTAATGAATGATATAATATAATAATTTTTTGACATTAGCAGAAATTTAATAGAAATTTACAGTAGTATTTCGAAAACTGATGAAAAGGAAAATTATATATGAAAGATAAGTTTATTAAAATTAATTTCTAATTTTATTATTTAGGAGAAATTTCAACAACCACTAATTCATCGTGTTTTGGTATGGTTAATCGTCAACTGTTATATAATGCTTCATATAAGACAATTTATGACGTTTCATTCGAACGATGCAGGTATTTTCCAAATATTTTAAATGCATTCAATGTAATAGTTTCATAGAAATGATATTACTATTATGAAATATTTGATAACAATAATATCGTGACAAATAGCATTGATGAATTATAATAATGCAGTTGCAAAATTTTCGATAGCAAAAATAATAATTACAGAAAATGTTTTATCTATTACTTAACAACAATAATAACAATAATAATAATAATAAATAATAACGAAATAATACGAATAAATAGTGATCTGTTTTTTACATTTTCTTTATACTATACTGAATGAGGCAGAAAAATAAACATCGAAACTGATATTTTCAATAAATCACCGCTAATATTATCGTTAATCAATTTGATTCATCATCATCTTATGCTAGATAATCGTTATCTTCCATTAAACATTAGATCACTAATCAGTGTAAGTATGAATATATTGGACGTGAGATCATCACCATCCTATATCAATATTATAATTTACTGAATTTTTCTAATATTTTTGAAAAAAAAATATAATCGCTTTTTTCTTTGAAGCAAATTAATGATAGAATAGAGTTCGTAGAAATAGAAAATATAAGAATTTGGGATGTAAGTCAATTTTGCTGATAACATTGTTGAAGATAATGATGATGAATTATTGATAAAATTATTTGTTATAGATGTGCTTGTGCTAATACATGGCTTGAAGAAGATTGTGTAATGATGAAATGTAAAAGTTTTCAATATAGTAATATTACACGAAAATGTTTGTTGAACGAAGATGATCATAATGGAAAATTTGATTTAGTATATAATTGGGATACTAATTATTTTTACAGAATATGTATCGATGAAGGTTTGTTTTCGCAGGCTTAAATTGTAATTTATGTGGCAGTTAGAATGTATGCTCGTTTAAAATGTCATGAAGTAATCATTATAATTATATTATATCTAAATTATTTTCACATTTACATCAAAATATTCGTAATACAATTGACAATTACGCATTTACGACAAAGAGCACAAAACATTCCATGTATAATGTTAGTTATAAGTATCTTTTATATTAATTATATATATTATCACATATGTAGTAATATTATTTCAAAGAATTCTAATCAGGTCATTTAAATTTTCAAACTTTCCAAAATTCTAATTCTTAATTTAGTCACTGATGCTATTTTAGATATCGTCAAAGATGCACTTCGCAACTGCCCAATGAATGGAAAGATAAAGCCTGAGCAAATTGCATCAAAAAAGACAATAGCAAATTGGGATACGACAATAAATAAAACAATTCATTCAACCAAAAAGCGATCAACAATCGATAATCAATCGCCGTTTTTGTCATCAACTTTTGGTACACAATCTGTTTATCGATGGAAAAAGAGTGGAAAAGAAGAAGTAAGCAATAAAACAATTACCGAAGAAGTGATATTATCGCCTAATTTATGGAGTAAAATATTGAAAATAAAAAATGCTGGAAGAAATTTGAGGAGTTTGGTATTTGAAATACGGAAGAAAGAATCAGAAGAAATAAGTGATGGAATAGGAGGATACAAATATAGGATTGAAATTCGACACGGTACTACCACTACTGCTACTGCTACTACCAGTATACCATATGATAATCGTGCGATACGATCTACAAAGGATTCGGGCTTAGAAGCAATCAGGAAACGATTTGGTGCTACAGCAATTTTTACGGATTATATCACCAAAACGACAACAATTGAACCATCGTCTTATGAAGAAGTTAAGTCACCGATTAAAAAACCTGAAGTAAAAGTTGTGGAAAAGGGTAAACATGATGAAATTAGAACGATTAACGGCAATGATAAGAAATTCGAAGAATCAGTAAGTGGATTGAATTCAAGCAGCACAAATTTAACATCTAACAATCAACGAATGGCAACAACAAAGAAAGGTTTCGATGAATTTTTTAAAAATAAACATATGCTGTTACATCTTTGGAAAATTCTTATTGTGAGCCATATGCCTAAGCAACGAAATCTTTTTCTAATTTGTACACCGATCAATTTGCTATTGAAACCATTTGTTAAGAAGTGGTCAATCAATGATCATAATTAATGCTGGAATTTTAATAAGAAAATTAATTTCATTCATCAAAAAAATACGAATCTGTTTAGAAGTCGGTGAAACTGAAGGATTTGATAGTACTTCTCATGATTACAATGAGAATTATGGTTTAAATGAAACTGATATCACAACGATATCGGTTACGGTAACAGAAGGATCCGGCGAAATGACTACAGAAGAGAAATTTGAAATTCCTGAAATAGATTTTGAAGGTGTTGATTATTCTCATAAATTGTAAGCTATATGCATGACAACATCACTTTCGTTTAATCGAAATCTTTATCTATTTCGAATTCTATATAATTAATTTTTGTTTTTATTTTGATAGAGAGGATCGTTCGGAAAAATGAGGTGACGATATTTATCGTTTCAGAAGATATATTATAATTATATACTGATTGTATGTATAAATTTGACTTTGCAGATTTCAGTAAAACTGAACAAAATTCGACATCAAAAGCGCCGGAAAACTGCTTTGAAGTAGGTTACATAATTCATTTTCAATAATTCTTCATAATAAATTTTATGTTTACTCCTCTGATTTAACAAATAAATAATAATAGCTTTCAGATGACAACTTCTTTTCTAAAACTAATAACTTCTACTGTTTAAGTATAAAAATACATGCATGAATTCAGAGTTGAATCTGTCCGAATTCCATAACTTAAAATATATCACATAATATTTTTCTTTTGACTGCTTTTCTTCTTTTCGTTCAACTTATTTCTTCCGTATTTTCTATTTTATTAGGACTAATTGAATTATAAAATTAGCATTCTCATTTCGTTATTTCCCGATCGATCAATATTTTCTGGCATTGCTGATGTGTCGAAACATATTTGACATCCGTATGACAAAATATGAAGCACATAGTGCATATGTCACCAATTAAGAAAAGTTTCAGAGGATTAGATTTTGCACGACATTCTGATAGAAATACCGCCAGTTAAATTACCACTATATTGCTATATATTTAAACCACTTTAAAGGTTATTGATGGATTTATATTAAAAGATACAGCTGGTGGGCTTGAACAAGAAGTAACATTGGAGGAATGTCAGTGTTATTGCGCTAATAGCAGGTTATTTTCAAAGATTTATTTATATGTAGAAATTTTGACATACGAGAAATGCGTTTAATTATTTAGTACTAAATGAAATCTTTCTGTTCCTTTTGCATAATTGTTGTAATTTATGTTTTATTATTTCATGTTATAATAAAATAATTAATTAATTTTCATTTTAATTTATTTGTAATTTTATTTCATAATTATTTTCCTCACTTTCAGCTTATAATTTTAACTCAATAATTAACCATAATATTATGTTTCTTAAACATGTAAAACTATATGTTTGAAGATTAGTAATTGGAATTAAAATCGTGAATCGATTTGAATATCCATTTTCCATTATTGTTATTAATTATTTTATCATGATTTTAAATTATAGTGAAATAATGCCTACTTCATTATTCTCATTCAGTATGAGTCGATCTAATTTAGTTTATCTTTGAAGCAATAATTTGATGAAAAATATTACATTTTTTGATATATTTACTCTTTGACCTTAAATATTAACTATTTGATATTGCAAAGAAACAAAAGAAAGAAGAAAAATTCAACTAAGTCTGAATAAATTTTAATTTAATACTGAAAATTTAAATTTTCAACATTAATTTTGTTAAAGATTTTCTTTCAAAAAATAAATCCATCATATCGAAATTATAGAAGCAATGAACGCTACTCATTTCAATGCCTTTCTGCTACTTATTATCATAAAGAACGGGATTGTGTATTGAATTTGCAAACAAGAAACGAATTTCCGGAACAGTTTAAACGGCAGGATAATGTCAGTTATTTGGGAATGATTTGTTCAGTAGGTTAGCTCATACTATATTCGTATTCCTAATTAATAATGACATTTTTAACGAATTTATAAACATATGTTTGGTATTATTCTAAGGTAGTTAATACTGTATAGTTGTTGCTGTACCTCCAACGGTGCATTTGCAGGTAGTAACATTTATCTTTTCCAGAAGATTCGAAACAGCAATTAGTGGATATTAATTTGATTGATGGTTGTCGCCGAATTGTTAATATTACAACTTCAACAGCAGAGTCTGAGAAGGTTTTTGAACCAGGTTTGCTGATATTCTTCACTTTCAAAAATTTTTTTAATTCTTGTATTCATTGCCATTAGTCCGACATTTTAATTTACAATTGATCATTTGGTGGATGAAAATGAAAATAAAATGGACATTTGGTGATTTGAAAGATGAAATCATTGAATACTAATCACTTATAGTATTCTTTAGAATCGTTAATGGATAAGATAAACAAATCAGACCTTATCATTTGACTGAGAACAATTGGAACAAACAATTTCAATAATAGGGATTTCATAAATCCAAAAATAATTCGATCATTTTTTATATCATAAAATTATTTCGTATTTCAATGATTTCTGTTTTTCTATGTTTTAATTTTTGATGATTTTCTCATTTCTTTTCTCTTTCCTTTTCAAAGATTCCTTATCACTCTTTACTGTAGTAATTGACAACTTTATTTATTATTATTTGACAAATAAATGTTAAAACTGATTAATAACTTTTGCAGTAAACACGGATAATTGTTTCGTTGAAATGCCAAATCATGTGCTCTACGGTACAGCATTTGCTGCAGAAATTGATGTATCTGTGGAAGCATGCAAGTGTTACTGTATGATTGCGGAAAAACAATACGGTATTGAATGCCGCAGTATCGAGTACTACTTTGATTCCAGAACATGCTTACTTAATAATTTGAGCAGGTAATATAGATAAGTTTTTTGGATTATTGAGAGTCACTGTAAGAAATTTCATGAAAACAGGAAAGAATTATGCAAATGCCTAATAAAAAATATAAAATATTAGAGTATGAAAACAAGTTAGTTATATAGAATTTCAAAGTTAAAAAAATAATAAAATCAATCAATATTTTATGGAACAGTGATTTACTTCAAATTTACTTTAATTTCATATTTCATTTGTATTGAATGAATGAAGTTTCAGGGAAACAAATCCAAAGAATTTTAATTATTCCATTGTTTCCACCTTAATGCATAGTTATTTCGACAAAAGCTGTTCTAATCAAAGTAATTTTTATTATTATTTTCTTGCAATAAATAACTTTTTATATGAAAAACTAAATTAAACTTTATTTTAAAATAAAAAATAATTTAATTTTTTCCCTTTTTCAGATAATGAATTTTCGATTTATATCAATGAAAAATGCTTAAATGTAATAAAATTGTTGCCAGTGAATATGAATTTGTCATTAAATCTTTTAAATGAAATTGGCACCAATAGAAATAATATTTTACACCCTGATGAGGTTAAGTTTTATTACAGCGAATATTATCCCTTTTTTCTTTTCCGATTATGATTCGATACTTTATTGTATTTTAAAGAAGTGAAATAGAAGATTTGTAAATGGCAGAAATTAAGGGAAAGATTGTATGGAATGAAATTGCTTTTTGGATGATTGACTTATTTAAAGACGACAATAAATTTTTTCTTTTTTGATAATTGACAGATACAAATGACAATAGAAAATCATAATTTGAAAAACAATGACAAAAAAGATTTTTGTTTTCGAAATTTCGCTTTTTTGTTTAAAGTTATTTTAATAATTAAAAAAAAAATTTTTAGGTAACAAACACTTATGATAGTGACAGTGGCAATGATTTTATTGACAGTCATGTGACCTTAGCAGTAAATCCTATTCATTCCACTGAGTATGCTACTCATTTAACCTATCATGACCTTTCAAAAGGTTCATTTTTTGTCTATTCTTTTTCAATGGATTATTTTATCATAATTTAATTTCGAATGATAAACTATTGTTTTTTGATTCCCACACTATTTTATTGGATTATAAAATTTCTGAATTTTGATTTTTTGTTCACTGACGACATGAAAATTAAAAGTATATTTTCAATTTTGCATTAAATAAAAACATAAATCAAAATATAAATCAAAGTGTTTGTTTAACCTTTTACTAAATTAATTCACTAAATTAAAATTTGATCAGGTCAACACTACTGTGTTATAAGGCTTATTGTTGATCTTGCAAATTTTAATGAATTCATTGTGAGTTGTTTGAATTATGATAATGTCAGCCGTATTAAATTAGAATTTATTTCATCATTAATAGATCTTTCAAGATTCCAAAAATTAAATTTAGATTCTGAAAATTCAAATAATTTCCAGAATCTAAAAGAGGAAACAAAACCGTATAAATATTTTTGCAAGTTTGCTAGAAGTCACCGCCATCTTGACGATATGTTTTTGCAAAAAATTCAGCTCAATTTTTTATGATTTAAAATGTTTAGAGATGAGAGAAGAAAAAGACAAGGAAGACATACTGCGAGATCATGATCTGATGACGAAATACACAACAACAGTAATTTCAGCTGATGAAAACTACACTAATTTTATGACTGTTAATAATTCATCTTCGAAACTAAATAATACAGTAGCTAATCGTGGTTTGTTTCTTTTTTCAACGAAATTTTCATCAATTAATTTATTCAACAAACTAATAAATCCTCAAATAGCGCTTACTAATATGGAAAATTATTTTATAATGAAATAATATTACTTTGTTGCAAAGTAACTTCCTTCGACACTCATTAAGATTTGTTCTCAATTAACTTCGATTATTCATTAAAACGGTTTATCAAATTTTGTTATATCTTCTAATAATTGAAGCGAATAATTGGCTATTTCACCTGTTATTTGAAATAAATAATTTATGAAATTGAGAAGAGTAATTAAGAATTTGAAATCAAATTTTAGACATTCTAAAATAGCTCAAATAATGAAAATCACATTGTAAATGAATGAAATTAGTTTACATTTTTTATAGCAAAAAATTTTTGATCAATTTCTAAATGAAAATACATCAATGTTATAATTGATTAAGTTACCACAACACCAATGAAAATGGATTATGCTATTAATAATCAAACATTAAAAACTACACCACCTGCGGAAATTACAACATATCCACATCTTCAAAAATGTGTCTATTCCGCCATCTATCGAACATCATTCCGCGGTATCAAATTAATCAAGCGAGTTTTAATTTCCAGGTTAGTTTTTTTGATTCGCTTTTATTCTATTTAAACTGAAGTTATCCATTTTCTATTTTATATTTATATTAGCAAATACTGTAATAAAAAAAAATCATGCATATGTTTTACATAGTAATGAAACGAACCTTTAATTGATCCTTATGATTCCCACAGTAACGGATAGCATTATTAATTTACTTGAATAGCAATCAAAGATCCGAAATTTTTTGAATTATATTTCGTCAAAATGTTTAATTGTTGGTAATATTTCAAATGTGATAAATATGTAATAATAAACCTCTAATTTATTATTTTGTCTTTTTAATTAAATGGGATTATATAAAGATTAGTTTATTTCAGTCCTCAACAATGTTTCTATGGATGTCATTTTGAAGGTTGCCGATCATCAAATTTGATTCAGGTTGATAATCAAACATATTCTTGTGAATTATTCAGGTATTCTTGCTTTTTATATGTTTCTTCCTCTCTCTCTTTAATTAATGTTTACAAAATGTCATGAAGCAACATGAAGCAATTCTGATGATATTAGGATTTGGATTTAGAAAATTTCAAAACTATAATAAAACTTAGTTTTAATCAGAATATCATAGGCTTAATTTCTTCTATTATATATTAATTACTATAATCGTCGTAATTGCAATAATTATTTTTATATTATTACAGTGATGCTTTAATTGATTATCGTACACCAGACGTATTAGTATACGATAGAGGTAGTGTATATTTCGATGGTATTAAATGCAATGCAAAATGACGTGAATGATAGAAGTAGCCATGAAAATGAATGGTAATAACGTTGATAATGAAGATTATCATGATAACAATCGATAATAAACAATTTGTACAGACCGGTTTAAATATTTTATTGTTGATATTATTTTACTCAGGAAGAAAAAGCTAATGTTTTCTCCCTTTTTTTTACTTTTTGTTTTCTTCTAAATAATTAATGGCACCCTTTACTAATTCTCATTTGAATTTTTCAAAATACATTTTGATATAATAAATTATATTTTTGTTGTATTATTTGAACATTTACTCATTGAAAGATTTTCATTAAATGATTGAACGATTAATTTCAATGAAATTGCAAAAATATTAGTAATTATGGTTGTCGAGAATTCCAAAGCGTTTATTTTGGATTTATTTCAAATTCTTGAGTTCAAAAAAGTGAACTGTCAACAGTTTGTTTTAAATGAAATGCTTTCTTAATATTTACCATAAAGTATAAGAACGTATTTTTTGCATATTTTTAACATCAATAAAAATATTGTTAATTGTTGCCAAGCAACAGATTTGTCTAATTATTTCATGCAATACTTAACGTTTACAGGTATGCCTACTGAATTATCTGAATAAGGTCTAACTTAGATTACATCAGCAAAGAAAGATGATTCTATATCAAAATGAAGTTATAGTTTTATTTCAATTGTTTCAATTAATTCAACTTGAAATTATAACTTAGTCCAACTTAATATGGATGACGAGAAAATCAAATTTGACAGAAAATGCATTGGCTAATTTATATATACATGTATTGTTTTTGGTAAAAGCTCATTAAAGGTCATTAGATTATAGGAATAATTTATCTGTTCATATTATTTTAAAGATCGAATATTTTCGATACATATCGGAATATATTTGCTTTCTAAATCGTTTTTTAGTGCTTTTTATTAGTTAGTTTCTTGAAAATTTTTCATGCCGAAAATTTGCATTCTTTTCTAAATTTCCGAAAAATTATATTGTTGACATTTCAGGTGAAAATTTTAATTCTTTATAAAAAGGAAAAAATCTGTTGTTAAAAAGTAGAGAAAGATTGTAATAATATAAATTTACATTTGATTACATATTTATTATTGGAATTTTTATTAGTTCGTTAATTGTTTACCTAATATTGGAAATTAAAAAAACGATTATTTAATTCATTGAATAATTATGAAAATTTTTTTGTCTTTCGATCGCAGATTTTGGCAGAAATAAGAAATGAAATAATTTAAGAATTGGTGAAATGTTTTTTAATGAAAGCATTTTATTTCAATAATTTCTTGTCGGAAATTAGTTGAACATATGTTTATTGTTCAGGAAAAAAGGTATAGTTTTAATTCTGTTCACTTTTTTTACGTCATTTGACAACGATATGGGTTATCAGAACATAACTCTGATAGATAATCCATATTTCAGCTTCATTTTAAGGAGTTAATATTACTGATACTTATTTCTGAAAAACAATTTTTCAGTGACAAGTGCTCATTAGGATAAGTACTAGCTTGATATAAATTGTAGCAAGCTAAATATCGACTTAACGTAAAATTATCGATGTTTTTATTATCGTTGTTAGCTTCCTAGACTATTTCTAAAGAATGGCTTAATTTATTTTCTTCAGAAAAAGTAAAAACTAAAAATCAATTCAAGAAGCTTTCTTGCAATTTGAATAAAAATTAATTAGACGAAACTAATTTATTACTATGGAAATAAACTACATTATTGCTAGCAGTACTCAATCCCACTTATTATTTTATCCCTTTCTTCTCACTTAGACTTATTATTGAAAAAAGAAATAACATAATAACATCCGATTAATTAAAACACCTTTAGAGTATCAATAGATCTGACAGTAAAACTGTCGAAATTTAAATCACAGTATAGTAATGGAAATTGGCAGCCAAGTTGGCAGCAAAACCCAAAAAATAAAGCTTGGAAAGATGTATTCAAAGAAAAAAATCACTTACATCGACAAAACCGATTGAAGAAAATGCTACTCAGACCGATGGAATTTTCTTCAATTTTAGATTCGAAAAATGCTTCAATGATGTACACTGGTTATGTTAAAACAATCAAGAAAAAGAAGTCGACAAGAGGTATAATAAGAGGCAGCATCGGTCAATAATATTATCAATAGTAAAAGCCACAATAGCTGGTCTCTCATAACGAATATCAAACATTATTCAATCGTGTGATCATGCAGAGATCTGTTTAAAATTCCGATTACGACTGCTCGCAACTTCACATATCTAATAATACTTGCATTCAGATAAAGCAAAGCGATGGACGAAACAAAGTCCAATAAATATCACAAACGATATAACCGATCAGGACAGCAATCTAAAAGCATCAGAGCTCAAATTCTCCTATACAATCAACGATTTTAAAACAATTGAGGTCAAATGATGCAAAAATCTTTCAGTATTTCTTGCGATTTTTTATTTGATAATTAGAAAATTACAATTGTTGAATTTTAGGCTACTGGCAATGGTTTTTCATGCAAAACTGATGAAGGATGTACTTCAGGTAAATTTTATTCCATTTTATATTTCATTTGGATAATTGAAATTGATAAAAAGGTTGCATGAGCGACTAAAAAAATGAATGGGTATATTTCAATTTCAGAATTAACTGCGCCACATCTTCCAGATGTTTACAAACTTTGGGAATTACATGCTCATTGGGGAACAGGAAAGCATTGCGGTAG